GATGTATTAGGATTTACTTGGCTGTTCCGTGAACGTTTACGGCAAAGGCCGTGGGACCTTCGACCAGCAACTGTACTTCACAGAGGAACAGAACTCAACTTCTGGAAGAATTTAATAAAGAAACGTTGCTGCTCGTAATGCATAAACGGGCGCAGTGTCTCTTTGCTTTTTGCTGTTGATATAACTGGATACTGAGCATCACTATTGCCTTCCAGAGTGTTTGAACTGCACAGGTAGTGGAATTCTCCAACATACAAATGGAGAGGAAGGAACCGTTCTACATTTCATGCAGTTTAAAGAGAAGATCGGTACCAGTTTCCGACTTGAGAGTGGTATCCGTCTTCCCCTTTCAGTCTCCGGAAGAAAAGTATTAGTATTTCGTAAAGTCTCAAACTATTCATTTGCAAAAAATACAATTCAAACTCTGCATTATGATCTTGTGCTACTTTAAGAGATACCTAACATGAGATAACAGTCCACCGTGTGATTTTATCAAAACCTTTTCTAACATTTAAGTCCTTTCCTTCTCTAAAAGTGTGAATTTATTCTAAGACTGAGCACGAGATGTATGGAAACTTTATGTTGCATATAAATTAAATGCGCAGTTTTAGGTGTTATTTATGGTTCCGTCGTTGTTCAAGAATTTGCAGCTGTGTTTGTGACCGGACCGTATTCAATTACCATTCAAGTCCCACAAACTGGGTCACAGACAGACCAGCTGCAATGTGGGTCTCTGAAATGTTCATCCTCCTTCACATCCATCTAGACTGTGTTTTGCACCCCTAGATTAGGTAATCTAAGTGGATTTCCCTGCCGGGATCAAAGGGACTAGCAGCTGCGTCTGAAGCCAGACTGAGCTCACAGAATCCTGGATTAAACCACACACGTGTCACTGGAGTGCGCGGCCGCTATCACCGGAGCCATCGAGGCAGGAGGGGCTGCCAGAATAAAAAGAGAACTGGAAATGTTTTCAGTGTCCTTGTGCGGCAGCCGCTGTGTGATAAAAGCCTGAGCGGTTGCGGGTCAGTATGCCGCCACACAAACGACAATTTAAAGGCCGTAATACACGCTGATCTAGATTTAGCCATTCTCAATAGGAGCGGAAAGGGAGGATCTATTTTTGTAATCTCTCTCGCTCCCTTTTCTCTGCGAGGACGTCAGCTGTGCCCGGAGTTCAGAGTTCGGCATACCAAGCCGCTTCGGCCCGCCGAGGCACCAGGCAGCTGCCGGCCGTACCCTCCTCCTCATATCATTGTGCACCCGGGTCATGTGTCCCCTGACATCAGGGTGACCGGGGGGATGAGGGCGACAACTGGCCGCGGCGGGTGCAGCTGTGTAGAACGCGGAGAGGAGGATTCCTGACGTGAAGGGATGGAGGCTGGTGACAGTCCAATAAACTGATTGATTTAAGATCCCCTCCCTCCCCCCAGAACGGGTTTAAGACATATAAGAATACTCCCCTTTTTTGTACTGCACGTGGTGTCTTTGATGTAAAAATGTCGTGCTTTAATGCGCGCACCTCTCTGCTCTTCTCCACTTCCGCCTGTAACACCTGTCGGGCCACTTCCAGTTCCTGCGTCTTCTCCCGCAGCACCTCGTTTTCCCATTCCAACTGGGCGTCCTTCTTCTGCACCGCCTCCAGCTCGTTGTACAGCCGGAGGGACACGCTCTTTCCCACCTGTAAACAAAGCCAGCAGCGGGGGTTAGTGTGAACGAGCGAGGAAACGGGCCCGAGCACTGTGAACGGGTTATGAAGGGCGTGTAAAACCTTTGACAAATCCACTAAGGAGATTGTTGTTCCCCTAACGAGATGCAGTGGTTGTTTACTTCTCTTCACCTGATCTTTTTTAGTTTGTTGCCATTTTGCACGTCTTTCCTGTCGTTATCTGGCTCTTTGTGGTTGCAGTGCCTCTCTTGTGGGTCATTTGGAGTGTATTTGAATTTATTTTGCATCTCTTATGGTTATTTTACGTCTTGTTGTAGTATTTTTGAGTCGCTGTCTGACTTTTCTGTTTTTTCCTGGTGATCATTTTATTGATCTTTGACATCATTTGGTTTCCGTCAGTGGTCCTTTGGCATTTTTCTGTGGCAGTATTGCATCTTGAATACCATCTTTGTGTCTTGTTTTGCATCTTATTTGTTACGTTGTTGTAGTCGTCTGACCAACAAAAAGAGGCCCTGGAGATCTGCCTCCAATCAGGAAAAACCGCTGGAAAAGAAAATCTTTTGGCCCAGATTTCACCTCCTTCCCAGAGTTGTAAAAGCGACTTTACAAGGAAATGCTTTTGACGGGAATTCACCATATGCGTGTGTGAGGCTTTTGGGAATCCTGCACCCCCTCACGCAGCCCAACACTGATTGATTCTGCAAAATGTTACTTTGCCTTTATGTTTCCTACCGATGGAGAACAACTCACCACATAATTACACCACAGTGTGACATAAATATAAACAGGGCGCATGACGAAGACATTTCCAACGAATTAAAATGTTTGTGGCGCTGACGAGCAGCGGGAAGCACTTTACAGCTCATCGAAGTGAGTCGGGCGGCCGTCAAGCGGTACAGTCCGTGCGTGTGTGAGGCCCCCCGATTGCTGGAATGAGAGATAACTTTTGTGGGAATAATAAATTGGTGTCGCCGACTGAAATGGCAGTGATTCACTCATAAGCCATTTGGGCAGGAACGTGCCGTTTCATGGCGTTTTTTGTTAAACGAGACTGCGGGACGACGAAGGGTGAGCAGTGACCGCCGGTGACCCATGACCTTGATGTCGTGCTCCAAACTCCGGACCAGCTCCCCGTCCACCTGCCCCGTCTGAGCCACGCGGATGCTGCGGCGCTCGGCCTTGCGGAGGCGGTACTGCAGGATGCGACAGGTCTTGTTGGCCTGCTCAAGCTGCAGCCGCAGCTCCTGCAGCTGGTACACCTCCTCCTCCTGGAACATGTCGCGCATTTCCAGCATCTCGCAGCGAAGCTCCTCCACCTCATCCTGGGACAGGCAACACAGAAATTCAACCTTAGGCATTTCCCCCCCCACACACACACACATACTGTATGTTAAAGTTACAACCATTCTGGACCAATATAGATCAAATACATTCAAATGCATTTTCAATTAGTGGTTATTATTACAGTCTCTAATTAGTTTAACAGTGGAAGACAGGAACAGCTCCTGACGTTGTGCACTGTTTTATTCCACTATATTTACTTCACACCGTGTCGTAGTGGTTTATAGTCTGATGGAGAGATCTCTGTCACTTTGATTTAGAATTAGTACGCCTTTTTATACAACAAAAGTAATTTCCACTTCTTAAACTCCTAATTAACTTCAAAGACTGCGTTAAGTCCGTTACTACAAATACACTAACTCAATAACGTGTTATGGTTTAAATGATTTGTTACTATGCGTCTTCCATTTAACATAATTTCAATACAAAAAATGCGGATGGCGCCGCAGATAATCTGTGTCACTCACTCGTGACTCTGATTCTTGCAGGAGACCTTCCCTCCTCACTTGTCCTCTACTCTAATGAACCCTGACAAGAGCATTTACAGAAAATCTGCTCTGGTATGCAGGGTCTGAGGGCCTCTTATTAGGTCTCACCAAGAAACGACCCTAAAAAAAAAACAAGATACAGAAATGTGGACATTTAAGATACACCACTATCGTGCGAATGGAATTGAATCCTAGAAAACAATTGAAACAAACCGTATTAAAAGTTAAACTCACTTTCAAATACTCGTTCTCTGATCTCAAATCTTCCACTTCCCGGAAAACATCCTCGGTCGTCTCGCCCATCATTAGATCCATAAACGACCCCGTGGAGTTGAACAAACTGAGACCCGCCGCTGCCTTTACGCGCGGTCTCCCGTCGCCTCTCGCCTCGCCGTCCGGGAACAAATAAGCTCCGCCGTCTATCCAGCTTAGCGCGCTGTCGCCGCTCGGAGAGTCGTGCTTGTTGTTTCCCTCCGAGGGGCAGTCGGATATCTCTGAGCTGCTGTCCGAGGAGGACAGTTTCCCCGACGGGCAGCCGGAGTCTTTGCTCAGATCCTCGGATGCGTTGCTGGCGTCGGACAGTTTCCTCTGCGCGCCGGGGCGCTCCAGCGGGGCACCGGGGCACACTTTCACCGGTCGTTTCCCCTGCGGTGCGGCCGATTTCGGCTCCCTCTCAGAGTCTCCTTGACATGACTTGGAGCCACTTTGGGCATCTTTTGCAGCCGGATCTTTCTTCTTTTTCTGGACAGAAACCAGCTGCTGCGCCTTTGGGGGTTTGTGGCTCCGGAGCGCAGTCTTTGCGCTTTTGTCCACGTCTCTGTTCATCGCGACTCTTTCTTTCTTTCTCCGGTAGAATGAAATAGCAGCTTTTTGTTTTTGTTCAATATGATAATGATGTTTCCACTAATATGTTGAAATGTGTTAATGTATACAGCTCAAAGCTTACTGAAGACATCCGTCTGGTTGCTCTCCATCCTGAAGACTAACTTTGCCAAAATGATCATAGAAAACCGGGCAGAAAGTGACTGGAAGTGTTGGACTGACGTAGTTTGTTCACGACTTCCGGTTAACATTTACAAAATAAAATGAATCCATTGACCCTCAATGAAAATGTTCCCAAACATTTTGCCTTAGTGTATATGTCTCGTCAGGAACAACTCTATTATATGGTTGTCAACAAGTGATAACCATATAATAACCATCCAAAAGTAATTAGTGTATTATTAGAAAGTCAGTACAACGTGTACGATGAGTGTATATTTCATTACATGAGTATTTTACCTTAAATTATGTGTACTTTACCCATTTATGATGATGTAATGTAAAAGGCATTTGTAAAAAGAGTTTATGGGTTTTATAAAGAATAGGAGAAAAACAGTCAACCGTAGTCTACTGATTGTATTTTAATGTAACGGGGTGTGTGTGTGCAGAGGAGAACAGCTGAGGCAGACGGAACCATCTTTGACCAAAGAACCATTGCCTTCTATTTCTAGCCCGCACTGGGCCGCGCTGTGATTGGCTGACGGATCCGTCAGTCACGGTGTCCTTACCGCCCCGTTTGAGAAGGAGCGCACTCTTCGTTTGTTGATGTCACTCCAGCGTTGATTTGACTTGATTTCACAGGTATATTTAATCAAATTATTCATCGTTCCTATTGCCAGATTCTGTGTAGATACTGTAAAACAACCTCTGCTGCCCAACTCCCAGCTAACGGCAAAGCTTAGCAGCAGCAATGTTAGCCGACGGCTAGTTAGCTCTTCATGGCTAGCTAACGCTAATAGCTACCGCCAGGCTCTCATGGGGGGGCAGAGCTGCTGACAGCCAGCAAGGAAGCCTTTATTTATTTTTGTTTGTCATATCCTGTAACTTACTCTGTGCTCTCTTTGGCTGCCCCTTGCTTAGTGTAAGTCGTCCGTGCTGTTGGAGGTGGTGTGTTTCGGCTGCCTGATGCTTGGACCCGGGACCGGGCAGCGGAGACGGGCCATCGGTGCAAACATGACTGTAGAGTAACGCACGACGTTACTTTCTCCGCTCAGTATGAACAGCGAGGAAGAGTTTTACGACGCGGAGACGGGTGAGACACGCCGACGGCTTTCTCATTTAGTCCAACGTCCTTGTGTCTTTATTAATTCTTCTTCTCCTTATTCCATTTCTTCCCTTAACCCCTCGCGTCGTCCGCACCAGGGCTGGAATCCGATGACTCCTGTGAGGTCAGCTTCAAAGATGTGACTGACGGCAGCGACGAGCAGGAGAACGGAGTCCGGAGGCGCCGGTGAGGAACCGTGCGGAGGTGTACTCATGTCTGTCCGTGTGCACGTTAGTCTTTGGGTTACGGTCTACGGGGGTCATCGTGCACTCACTCACGAGGCCACTGGAACCAGATTTCTGTTCCATTAGATTTCATTTTGCAAAACATGTGGTGAAGCTAGTCGACTTTCAACTTTTTTTTGTTCCTTTTTGTGCAGTACATTGTATAATCAATACCCGGTCACAGGCTTAAAAACAAAATCCTATATGGTCCTAATGTGTACCAGGAAAACCCTGCCTGCTGAAATGATCTCCAGAAACAATTTCAGTGTGTGGAGTATACTGAAGAAATGCATCGGCATGGTGAGTCCTATCTGCTTCCAATTTAATCTCAATTTTTAACATCCGATTCGCCATGAACAAGATGTTGTCAAATTCTTGGTTGACTGTGGCATCTTTTTGGGGTTTATAATTGCTTGCGTGCATCAGCCTGCATTGCGGCGCTACAAGACTAATCATGACAGAACCCTTTGACTTCTCTCTACTCAGCTCACTATAATTGGCTTGGAAGTTGTTGTTTTTTTGCAACCATCTGAATGAACAAAACTAGCTTAAACAAAAAGAAAACCAGGGATGTGAAACTCATCTACAGGCAGAGTGTATTTGTTGCATGGAAGTTAAACAACCTGATGCATGAGTTGTTTAAGTAAGCATTTTTTGTGTCAGTGTCACAGTTCTGATCCAAACTGCAAGTTCAACTTCTTATTTATGTCTTCTGTCTAAAAATGTTTTCATGTGCTCTTCTAGGAACTGTCTAAAATAGCGATGCCGGTTGTGTTTAACGAGCCGCTGAGCTTCCTTCAGAGGATCTCGGAGTACATGGAGCACACTCACCTCATCCACAAAGCCTGCAGTTTGTCTGACTCAATAGAACGAATGCAGGTACAAATCAAGGACAACTTGTAGGAGCTTGTGATCTACTTGGATTTTCAGACATTTTCTTCCTCTCTTAATTGATTTAACCATTTTCTTTCTCCTTACTTCTAAACCCATCTGGACCGAACCATTTAACACATCTTACTCTGACTTCAACCTGCAGCTAACAATCATTTTCTTTATCCAGTAATTTAAGTGTGTCAAAACATTTGGAAAGATTCCCGTTAGGATTTCATAAACCAATATGACCTTTTCAAATAACTTGATTTGTTGGAGCAATAGTCCCAAACCCAACAGAAATGTAAACCGATTATTTTCTGTCAATAAATTAACCCATTTAAACTCTTTGCCGCTCTTCTCTGATCCCCTTCATGTCTCCGTATCAGGTCGTTGCCGCGTTTGCTGTTTCGGCTGTAGCATCTCAATGGGAAAGGACTGGAAAGCCATTTAATCCATTACTAGGGGAGACATATGAACTCACAAGGTATCAGAGAGGACAATATTCTGTTGTCAGAAAGACACCAAAATGTTTCTTTATTAATCTATGAGAGTTTTTAAATGTTTTTCATAGAGAGGACGAGGGATACAGATTGATTTCGGAGCAGGTGAGCCACCACCCCCCCGTCAGTGCCTTCCACGCCCAGTCCCTGAAGCAAGAGTTTGAATTTCACGGCTCAATTTACCCAAAACTCAAGTTCTGGGGCAAAAGTGTGGAGGCCGAGCCCAAAGGCACCATGACGCTGGAGCTACTGAAGTGAGTGTGTCCCCCCCCCCCCCCAAAGCACGTTGCGCTTGCACCAGCGGACACACTACTATCAGACTAAAATGTGTAGTGTGTAGTAAATGTGACTCTACAGCTCGGCTCTGTCCGATGGTAACAAATAGTCTTGACTGACCGACTTTGTCAATCTTTTGTCAAGTCTTGGAAATGTGTTTTTCCAAAACTATCAAACCGTTCCTTTCTGATTCTGGGAACTTTTCACAGACATAAAGAAGTGTACACATGGACAAACCCGATGTGTTGTGTGCATAACATCATACTGGGAAAACTCTGGATTGAACAATATGGAACAGTGGAGATAGTCAACCACAGGTATTCCCTCAATACTTAACTGCAACGTTTTTAACTGGTTTGTCATCATTGCTTATTGATTTACGTGTGCTTTTAATTCCCCAGCACTAGGGATAAGTGTGTGTTGAACTTCAAACCGTGTGGAATGTTTGGGAAAGAGCTGCACAGGGTCGAGGGTCATATCCAAGACCGAAGGTAGCGCTGGACCACAACGACGCCGTCGATCCTCTGTGATTAATTTTCTCCTGACTGAACAAGCTTTCTTCTTTGCTTTTGAACCAGTAAGAAGAAGCACAAAGTGATTTATGGAAAGTGGACAGAGTGCATGTACAGCGTGGACGCCAAGGTTCACGAAGCATACAAGAAGTCTGAAAAGAAGGCGGGCGCTGACTCAAAAAAGCCGAAACAGGTGCGTGAGTTCAGACTCTGTTTTGACTGATATCTGATTTTCTACTGAGATGAAACGCTGCATGAGTTTCTTCTCACGTCATCGACTTGTTTTATGTGTTTTACAACGTGAAGTGATGTGTGACTCATCCATCTAAATTCTTTTCTCAAATGATATCTTTTCCTCTCACAATAACATGCAGTGGCTTTAGTAGAAGGTAAGGTGAAAGTGTATTGGATATCTGTAATGTGCTACTGCTGTTGTCTAGTTTGAGTTATGTTCAAAGTGAAGTGTATGATTAGGTCTAATCTATAATGTCTTGCAATGACACGCATTGTTGCTTGAGAGACGTGTTGAATTTGTGCAACTGTAGTTCTGTGAATTAGTTGTTTGCACATGAACTGTACGTAATGTCGGCTTCAGCTTGTCATTCCACCTGGCTTGGTCTTATTTATCGGTGTGTGTGTGTGTGTGTGTGTGTGTAGGAACATGGTTGTGAATCTGAGGAGGCAGATGAGATGCCAGAAGCTCAAGAGACCGTGACAGTGATACCAGGAAGTGCCTTACTGTGGAGGATAACGCCGCGGCCTGCTAATTCAGCACAGGTCAATATCAGACACTCACTCAAAAACACTGAGGAAATCTGCTGAACCGCTACAGATGTCTGTAGGCGTTGCTTGTTAGCAAACTTCACCAAACCGGCGGTGTTCACCATGTTGAGTCATCAGCCTCCAGCCCATGAAATGGTTGAACGTGGTCAGCACGTCTTCACGGAAGGAACTTTTCATCCTGAAGAAATGGTTTCCTTTAATAAAAGTGGATTAGCTGGAATAATAGCCACACAGATCCTGGAAAGAGGTGTTTTCTTAAATTACTTTTAAATATAATCCCACATGTAAATCTAAGTGTTGTCAAGAATACAAACACAAATCACCTCATACTGTGAGGTGGAGGCCGAGATCTCAACTGGGCAAATAAATCTTACACTACTTGCACGAATAGAGACCACTAGAGGTAAATAAGATTTATTTTGTTTTCTTTAACTTGAGTCCAAACCTTTTTTTGTATCAATTTAATTTGACTTCAGACTTCCAGATGTGGAAGAGTTTTTTTTTCAAAACCTGCAGACTCGTTTATTGAACAAATATGTTTATTCCGTGTGTCCAGATGTATAACTTCACCAGCTTTGCCATGACACTAAACGAACTGGAGCCCGACATGGAGAGGCTTCTGGCCCCCACAGACTGCCGGCTAAGGCCCGACATCAGGGCCATGGAGAACGGAGACATGGGTAACACAACCCCCCCCCCCGTGCTCACACACACTCCATTCCTTCCTTCCTTCCGCACACAAAACATGATTGTGCCGTTGCTTTTTCGTTGATGTTTTTACAGACTTATCGAGTACAGAGAAGGAGCGTTTAGAGGACAAACAACGGGCCTCGCGCAGGGAACGCTCCGAGGAGGAGGAGGAGTGGTCAACCAGGTCGGTGGGCTTGTTTTCAAGAACTCAAAATTAAAGCTCACCTCAAACGTGCATCTTGTTGCATAGATGTGATGGAAATTCAAGGATGGCCGAATGACCGACTCAAACATTTAATACACAGGAAAGCATAAACCGCTAAACTACTGAAGACTATCTAATTATTATCATTTGAAGGTATTGAGGAGGTTCTCCTCGTGTCAAATTGGACAATGATCTTCTGTGTCATGATGTGGAGACACGGAGAAGAGACGAGGAACAAATTCCAAACTCCAGCACCTCCACTATTCATGAGTTTTCCCTCATGCACACAGTACAGACGGATTATTGAATATCCTGAAAAACAGGTCAAACTGGGTCAAATCGTATTTTGTCCCTGGTACCTTTTTAAAACAAAACAAGCTCATTTTAGTCTGAAACGTCTAATTTGTTGTACAGCATGTTTAATTCCCTTACTAATGGAAAAAATACAGAGTAAATCTTTTATAGGGAAGAGCCTCCTTTGTGTTGACAATAGTTGCGAGAATAGCTTCAACACATAAATAAAAAGATTTAATCTTTGTTTTCCTGGCAAATGAATGGTAAGAAAAACACGTAAGCTCATTAAAGAGAATCAACAACAGTACTATGTATTTAAATTGGCCCAATACTCGATGGTGCCGAGGCTGATTCTCACAGCTTCATTTGAGGGCGGCGCTTCACTCATGTTATGTAACATTTCTTTTAATAGTCATTTTACTAATGTGTCGGCATGTTTTATGTCCCCCCCCACCCCCCCCAGGTGGTTTCAGCTGGGAGCAAACCCTCATACTGGAGCGGAGGATTGGCTGTACACTGGTGGATATTTTGACAGGAATTACACTGACTGTCCCAACATTTATTGACGCAGGAGCAGGTGTTCAGTTCGAAGAGCTCCAGTCGTTTGTGTCTTTGTGATGTCCGGACGCTCACAGGTACTGTGTCTTTGTTTGGATCCATTAAAAGCTGATATCAAAATCAGATCAGTACGGACCACAGCAGAGTTTTAGGGTTTTTAGACTTTACTTACTGTAAATGTTGGCATCTTTTATGAGCCCTAATCATGACAATAATAGTCCACATGTATGTTTCTGGCCTGTGTGGGTTGGTAAACCGGTCACCCGTTTATGTGCGTGTTACATGCGTGTTGATGATGATGATGCTGCAGGACACAGAACTCCCGAGAGGATATTTTCAACTTTTGAGTTTGAGTTTAGGGACTCAACCGCAATCTTACCTGTAGACGTAACAAACACTTTTTGTCCGCTGCATTCAGATATCAGGGGTTATTTAAACACAACTGCTATTTAAAAAAAAATGTATATATAACCTATTTGTGCATTTTAGTTAACTGTAAAAAGGCAGATGTGACCGGTTTTCTGTGAATAGAGACAGTAGAGACAGTAGAGATGAAAGCTGCTTTTAACCACGTTTACCGTCCCAGTAAACGTATTGTTGGTACATTATGTTGTTCACTGTAACAAAGATGCTGTGTATAATGATTGGTGCATGTATGTTCACCAAAATGATTATTTACACAACGTTAAAGCCATAAAAACGTAGTTCTGCACTAGGTATAAAACTGTAAATGGATTCACATAAAATGTTAAAGCAAAAGGTTACAGAGCGTTTTTAGTTTACAGCAGGATGTTTTCAAAGTCGGACACCACAAGAAACCTCATCTTTGCATATTCTGAAGCACAAATGTGAATAAAAAGTTAATAACGTATTTTTAAACCCTTAATATAATTTGTTTTACTTAAGAAAAACTAAACTAAAGTATAAAGGCGCCCTTGTCAGATAGGTAGTTCTGTTTTTTTTGTTACGTTTTTCTAAAAGTTTGTATTTGTTCATTTTGGCACGTTAGAACTAATTTTTTTTATAAATTTGCCGGATTGGCTTAGCACTTCCTGTTGGAAATGTGCCCGTAAGATGTATACACAACCCTCACTGGATGACCGATACCGAAGAAAAGAAACTGAATGATTCTCAGGAAAATCCTGGAGTTATGAAGATGGTCTTTGATTCTGATGGGATTCCTGAAAGGGACTTTTGGACATGTATTTATTTGCAAGATATTAATATGCAAGTCACCACAAATGTAAAAGGTGTAATGTATATTTTGTGATTTTCTGACACATATTTTCCCACCATTGAAAGTTGTGTTTTTGGACTCTGCAGCCTTCATAAACCTATGCAAAAAGATCCAGCCCGTCTGCCCTCCTGACAAAACTCCTTCAGCTTGTAGCCAATCAACGCTTACATGATGGTTTATAGTTTATAGTCCTTTTGTATTTCAAGTCACTAACATGTGTACACTCAATGTTCGACGCACATATTGTACAGTGAAGATTTTTTCTACTTCCTTTCTTCCTCCGGCTTCCTTCATCTTTACTCTGAATTCAAAGCACTTTGTGACACCTGCAGACACTCTAAAGGTTTTTCTGATCTCCCTCTTTTTACCAATTATTTTTGTCGTCATGCATCCATTTAAAAATGTTTACATTGTATGTTCGTTGATCCACCCTTAGTATTATCCACATGCAACCATATGGCATATTTGAGGAATAAATAATGGACTACTGAAACAAACACTCACCCACAGCAACGCTAGTCGGTCCTTTTTATTCCAGTCTGGTCACAACACAAAAGATTGGAAGAGAAAAAAAAAAGCGTTGATGCTACACAACATTTGGCTTTTAATCTCTGCTTTATTCTTGTGAACCACAAGAAACCTTTTAACTCTTTGGATTTCCAAAATAATCAGAGGATTGACATCTGAGAGGGGAAGTTACTCCCAACCACGGCACGTGAGATTCTATTTAGTTTGTGTTAAGTCTTCATTTTGGGGTGTATATGAGGATCCATACCCATGAAGCACAATATCCACTGACAGGATGGAAGCTTTAAATTGTGTTCTGCCAAACTCACACTCTATCTTCCCCTCACTCGCGATCAAGGCCGCGAGGTACTAGAAGTCCTTCACTTGAGGTAAGGACACGTTCCTCACCCGCAGTAGGCAATCCATCGGTTTCCTGCTGACAACCATGGCCTCGGATTTAAGGGCTCCGATCCTCATCACGAACCGCTTCACACTCGCCTGCGAGCCGTTGGAAGCCACAGAGCCGAAGATGCCATCACCACCAGGTCGTCTGCAAAAAAGCAACGGCGAGATCTGCAGCACCCTGAACTGTAAACACCCCCCCCCTACGCCTCAATATCCTGTCCATAAATACCACAAACCGGATTGGTGACAAGGCGAAGGCAAACCACCGGAAACGACTGGACTTAGTGCCGAGAACCTGAACACCGCTCTCACTTCAGGGGGAAAAAAAGGAAAAATGATTAAGTTATATAAATGTCATGGGGGAAAAAGGTCCAAAGATTATAGGTCGATACATTTTTTTAACTTTGCTTAGGTCCGAAAATGACATTTAAAAAAAGGTCAAATAATATTTTGTCAAAGTAGAATATTTCTGGTCAAAAAATCCCATTAAAAAAGTCTGAAAATATTAACTTGAAGGATCTTTGCTCAAAATGTCATTAAATAAAAGTACTGAAATATTTCGTAAAATGACATCAAAAAGAACAGGTACAAAAATAAGGTGAAAAATGTGCTTAACAACCAATAAGTGATGTTTAATAGGGAAGTAGTTGTGTTTGATCAATGACTATTTAAAAATGTTCACTGCTAGAAAGAGCATGTGTTGTGCATTCTCTACCGAACTTGTGCAGGGAGCTTTAAACGAAACGTTATTGACGTGTGGTTCGTCCAATCACATTGAAGCACTGGAGACAGCCAGCCAATAACAATCATCTTCAGTACGTTTAGCTGTTCTGCGGTTGAACGACATTTCAGTGAGTACATGTAAGTATGAACATGTTATTTTCTCATCAGTAACATGTTTTTGATTCAGTGACATATCAACCAAATGCTTGTTTAGATCCCGTTTTTGCATTATAAGACTGCAGCTCCGTCGTGACGTCATCGAGCTGAAAGCAGGCTGCCTGCTAGCGTTAAAGGATGCAGAGTCATCGGTGGCTAAAGTGGCCATCGCAGGAACGATAGCTGTTTATTATGGGAGCACTGCGATTGGCTTTGTCCCAGAACTATGTTTCCTATTGAATCGGATGCATTATTAAAATCGTTAATGTCAGTCTCGGAAACCAGCTGACAATAATACTAATAATAGCTTTGTATTGAATAGGTTAGTAGAAATTATTTAAAATACCGCAGCTACCATTTAAAATCAATCAGCTTGATCAAATGTTCATTTGTATTCATGAGATACAGCAGGAAAAAAACAATCCCAATATCCTGATGGTCAACACAGCTCTATGATTATTAATGTACACATGAACAAATATTCCATGTTATTGTAAATGTTTCTCATTATAGTTAGGCTACTTGACTTCTTGGTTTTTCTTTTCTTTCTTGCAGGCAAATTCCTTGTATATAAAAACCTAAATAAGCAGCAGTCTGTCCTCTTCGTCATGGCGTCTGGAGCTTTGTTCCCCAGCATGGTCTCTGGGTCCCGTGGCTCCTCCAGCAAGTACCTGGTGGAGTTTCGGGCCGGTAAGATGACCATGAAAGGCAGCACGGTGACCCCTGACAAGCGCAAAGGTCAGGTCTACATTCAGCAGACCGACGACTCCCTGATCCACTTCTGCTGGAAGGATCGGACGACCGGGAACGTGGACGACGTAGGTGACGTGGTCAGTGTAAAAAGGCTCTGCCTTTTGCCTTTTATCATGAACTCCTCGTTTTCTGATTTAGGACTTGATCATCTTCCCGGATGACTGCGAGTTCAAGCGCGTGAGCCAGTGCACCACCGGACGGGTCTATGTGCTGAAGTTCAAAGCAGGCTCCAAAAGACTCTTCTTCTGGATTCAGGTATGAAGCCGGTTACACACACACACACACACACACACACACACACACACACCTCTGTATTCAGAATCAGTATTCATGTATCCTGGGATTTTATGTAATTTTTAAGGATAAAAATCTGAAGCTAAATGTATAAGACCCTTTTATGATCATTACAGTTTTATTATGCTGGTAGTAGCATTGTTATCTATATATATACTGTAATCTGAAATAATTTAGCATTGCCACCAAATCCCATGAAAAAGTCAGATGCGGCCATTTTTCTCTGGGACAGAGACACTGTTGTCCAACAACAATTAAAGTGGCCTGTTCCTCCGTCACAATGTGGGCACTGTAGCTTCAACATAATGCAATAACTGTAACTCAATCATTAGTGAGTCAGTAAACCTGAGCGTTTTTTTTTGTTTTTCTGACCTCAGGAGCCCAAGACTGATAAGGACGAGGAACACTGCCGTAAAGTAAACGAGTATCTCAACAACCCTCCAATGCCCGGTGCGCTCGGTAGCGGCGGCAGCGGAGGACATGATCTGTCCGCGCTGGGAGGTAACAGATGCTCAAAGTGTCGTTTTCTTTTTTTTCCTATCTAATGTGCAAGAATCTGAAATATTGGAGTCAGAAAACGTCTCAAAAGTGAATCTGATGCGGATGTCAACGGTCATTTTGTCTCGTGTGAAGGGGAGGGCGGCCTGCAGAGCCTTCTGGGTAACATGAGCCACAACCAGCTGATGCAGCTCATTGGACCGACTGGACTGGGCGGGATCGGTACGTAAACCTACATGCTCGTCAGTCAGAGAGGGGAAGAAATCTCGGCAAACAACGTTTCACGCATTGGCTGTTTCTCTCTGAACGCCAGGGGGTCTCGGGGCGCTGGCGGGTCCAGGCTTGGCCAACCTCCTGGGCAGCGGCAGCAGCAGCAGCAGCAGCAGCGTCCCCGCTGCCAGTAACTCCTCCACAAGGTGTCTAATTCTGTTGCATATTGAAAATAAATCCTAACTTTTCCATCGCTGTGTTCTCTAAAACAACAACCGGCGGTAAAGTTTGTATTTGTTGTCCTACATTTGTTGTTTGGCGGCATCATTTTTTTCCATTGCTGCTGGTAAACAAAGGAGACGTGATGTTGCGATGAAGTTTGAGGGACGGAGGAGAGCATCATAACCCAAGCTAGCACTCAAATGTTCTTTATTGACTTTGGAAATACCTTTTTTAAAAGTTTCTAGCACAAGGTCCTGGAGGATCATTTGTATAATGCTGACTGCTGTTTTCTTCCTCTCAGCCCGTCCACAGCCGTCACACCAACCTCCACCTCGAATGCCAGTCGGCTTGGCTCCACCCAGGTCCCGACCACCCCCATCACTCCCTCCGCCGCCTCAGCCGCCTCCCCCCCGGCCTCCACACCCTCCACCCCGGCCGTTCCCTCCTCCGCGGCGGCGGCGGCGGGGGCGGCGAGCCCCGCGCAGCCGATCCAGCTCAGAGACCTGCAGAGCATCCTGGCCACCATGAACGTGCCCGCCAGCGGACAAGGAGGTGAGGCACCGAGCAGTTCTGGATACGGGGACACATCAGGGGACCAAAAAGGGATTTACATTCACTGTTTGGGGTTTTGGGAAATGTATTATTGTCGTTTTTCACCATTTTCTCACAACTCGGCGCATAAAGTCACTGAGATAATAATAATAATAAACCTTTTCAGAGATCCGTGGTTGCTCTCACAAGACATATGATGTATTTATGGAGATTAAACTATAAGCAAAAGCACAATCCTGAATATCTACAGCAGTAAGATGCAACATATGAATTAGTGCTGCAGTCAAATGAAACACACACACAGTAAACAAGAGACCCTTTTTTACAGGGATCATAGCAGAGAATACTACTACTTTCACTTGGGAACGGTTTCTAAAACAACAACTAGCAGTATTATCACAGTGTGATGTTGTTACTTTTACTCCAATAAATGTGAACACTTCTTGAGAGGTGGGATTGAATACACGTGTGGCAGTAACGCTGAAGTCAGACAGCTCACAAACACTCGAATACTGTACATCGTCACGTGGATATCTTGCAACTAACCGGTCAGTGGGGGTGTTTGTGTCCTGCAGTGGATCTCGCCAGCGTCCTGACACCTGAGATCATGGCCCCCATCCTGGTGAACCCCGAGGTGCAGCAGAGACTGATGCCGTACCTGCCCTCCGGGGAGTCCCTGCCTCAGAGCACGGAGGAGCTCCAGAACACGCTCAGCTCGCCCCAGTTTCAGCAGGTAACAGGTTGCCCCCGACCCTCCTTTCATTCTGAGAATGAGTGTTTAAAGTCAGTAATCAAATGTATTCTTGCCAATAAACAACCAGCTTAAACTCCTGTATATTCTATTTTTGTGGGTCTCTCTCTCTCTTTTGTTGATATTCGTGGTCATCCGGGTGCTTGCTGTCTCTCTGCAGGCCATGAGCATGTTCAGCAGCGCCCTGGCGTCCGGTCAGTTAGGGCCTCTGATGAACCAGTTTGGTCTGCCTGCAGAAGCTGTGGATGCAGCCAACAAAGGAGGCGAGTGTTCGGCCCGCAGACGTTTGTTTCCCTTCTCTAGCAGGGAAACCAACGTCGGCACTTTTGTATAGCTCATGTTCAGAGATTTTGTAGGATACTTTGACTTGTTCTATACATGCTTTAACTTTTGAAACTTATTCAACATACTATGACTTTGTAAAACGTGTTACATTGAGTTTTTCCAAACTATTATACTCAGACTTTGACATTTCATAATGCAATAGTATGAATTTTTCACGGTTTATTACTTTTTTGCATACTATGATTTGATTGATTTTTTGTCGTACTAGAGGTTTTTTTAACATACTATGACTTTTAAATAATTGTACTGACTTTGTTTACATACTATGGCTTATTTATAGAATATTATGCGCTGACTTACAGGTATACAATATGTTGAGACTTCACATTAAATCAAGAAACTAATTTGCAACAAAATTAATATTGAGAACAATATTTCATCCCGTTTTTAGCACTCATTTTATGGATATTTCTATTGTGCAGATGTCGAGGCTTTTGCAAAAGCCATGGAGACGGAGACAAAGGCGGACCAGGATGAAGATTGTAAAGACAAGAAGGATGACGACGAAGACATGAGTCTGGACTAAGAATTCTTAAAGTTTATTATTATTTAAGGTATTTATTTAGCTGCTTCACTTGATTTAGAACTATTCAAAATTGAGGATAAAAATTGCAGCTCATAGAAGGAAATGTCACTGAGACTCAGATGTTCACCATCAGCGTGTTGCATTATTTAAACTGAACATGTAACCAGCTGCTGTAACACGGGAACAGTAAAACGATGAGATACATGCGTGACTCGTGCCTCGTGTTTATTCTCCTGTTTTATGAATGAGGCAGGTTTCTGCAAATATATTAGAAAAACATTAATTTTACAGTATCAAAACAAATAAATACGCGTTTAACATCAACCATACAAAGACAATTTTCTGCAGTTCCACAGCTCTATTTGGATGTTTATCGTACCATTTTTTTTTACCACAATAAAATGTCTAATTATCTTTCCTAGAGCAGAAAAACAACACTTATCTACAGCAGCAATAGTCAGAAATGTCAACATCAAATGGCACTCACAATTAGAATGGTCGACAATTCCACTGTAGATTCAGGCACTTTTTCTTTTCGTACGCGACGTCCTAAATCTGAAGAATTACTGTAAGCTAAGTGGCGGCTGCAGGCGTGTGAATACAGTGTGGTGCTCGGAGTTACCTGTCAAATAAATATAAACTGTGACCTTTCATTGACTTACAATGGGAGCACAGGTCATTTTAGTTATTATAGCAACCTGAATATCAAAACATCTCTTTGGATTAGATACGAACCATTCAAAAGACACGAGAAAGTAAAACTCCTGAGCACCGAAAGATACATCAACTCAAATTCCAGTTCACCGGTTTCTTTTTTTTATAAAAACATCCCTGTTCAACGACATTTAAAACATCACTTACTATAAATAATTATACACGTTTCCTTAGATATTGTATATTGGTACAGTATGAACGCACAGATGGCCACAAGAGTAAACTAATGTTTTCTTTTCACAGGATAAATAGATGAATGTGGCAGGATTGTTAGTATTGAACCAACAGATGGCTGCTTCTCTAATCTTTCCACCAACATTCTACAGTTTCAGTCTCATGGCTAAAAGGACATTCATTTCACAGTGGGTTCAAAAAGGCATTTACAAAATCAACAGTACGGTTCTTCTACAGACCGTGTGCACTGATGAGAAAGGTGCCAGAGAGGAGAGTCCTCCGGACGTCACAGCGCAAGTTTCATTCACAAATACTCGGACGTACCAGACAAAATAAAAGCACAATCAACGTGCTCATCAAACATCTCTAACGTAGAGTTCAAGACAACGTCACACGTACAAAAAAAGGACATTCAGGGAGACGCACATGACATCGAGTCTAAGATATGCAAGTGTAAATCTCGACGACCGACAGGAAACAAAGTATCAGAATTATTAAGTTTCGAACGGCGCAGCTTATGAACTGGTCGCTGCGTCACCTCGCTCACGCGTCGACGCTCCGCGGTGGATTGCAGGTCTCCCCTCGGTTTAGCCCTGCTGCACCAGCCTGCGGTAGTGTGGCATGACCATACTCTCAGGCAGGTAGAGTCCCATCTCCAAGGCAACCAGCACCGGGAACTCCAACGGGATCAACTCCCGTCTGTTGATGCGGAAACGCTCCTCCAGCTTCTGCTCGTCCACAGGGAAGAAAGAGAAAGTCCCACAGTGAAGATATGTAGGTGGTGAAAGACATCCGTTTGATGCTCACGCAGCTTTTTATTTTATGTTTTACATACAATACTAGGATTTGTTGTCTTGCTTGATTACTCCTTAAGTTTTATCATTTACTTTTGTCAACAAACAATTTTTTTTCCAGCATCACCTTTTCTGACATTTTTCTTTTGACATACTGTACTATGATCTTTTTTGACATATTACAATCAGACTGTTATATTATTATTATTATTATTATTATTACTTGTTTCAACATACTGCAGGAAGATTTTTCCATGACCCTTTTCCACTTTATTTTGACATCCTTAATAATAAACTTGTTGTGATTTTTGGCATGCCTTATTTTTTATGAATTGGATATTTTATAACTTTTCTTTACATAATAGTTTTTCATGAATTTCTTTAACGTGCTATACTTTGACTTATTGACAACATAATTTTTGTACAGTTTTTCCGTTTTGTCTTATCTGCAAGATGTCCTGTTCTGTCTGTGGGAACTTTACTCACGTCGATGAGATGTTTGACGTCTGGCTTCCGTAAATCGCTGCTGATCTTTGCAGCCAGCAGCACGCACGCGGCTGCCACCAACTTCCGGTTCTGCTTGTTGAAGCAGCCCTGCAGCACCAGCTTCTCGAAGTAGACAAAAGCCATTGCTATGGTGACCGGCTGTAGACCACAGTCATCGCCCATGGCCCGCATCTCCCTCTTCAGGCTGGTAAAAAGCAAGTAGGAAGGAAGTAACTAACTCAAAACTGGAACGTAAATATGCTGAGGTACAAAAACGTTCCAACGACCAAAAGGCTCTTTGAGGACATTTAAAAGACGGGCGTCTGTACCTTCTTATCTTGCTCAGAGTCAGCTTAATGTGAGGAAACTTCTCTTTGAAAGTCTCATTCATGTCCTTCTTCAGGTCAGATGGTTTCACATACTCAACTACAGTCGTCTGAAGAGATGGAAACAGCACGTCAGGACAGAAGTGGATTATGTCGGCGTGGGTCGATATTCTATTAAATGCTAAATGGGGCTGTGATTTGCATTATCTTGTGAAATCCTGTCGAAAAATGGCAAAGAAATAACCTTTGAGTAATTGTGTGTTCACTTCTGTGTGACTGAATGCTCGAGGACCTCTCGTGGTTGCGGTGACTCACATGTGCAGACTTCATAAATTCCGTAACGAAACTCTTACAGGCATAATTCAAATATGTGATGTGTGAATTATCATCAACAGTAAAATACCTTTTGTTCCAATCGTTCTCTTTTTTTTTTTGCAAAAATGTAATTTAGTGCTTTTAAAAACCTTTCAGGAACTGCAGATAACCATTAGTCTCAGTTTTAGTCAGACTGAGGAAATAAAATAAAATAAAAATCATTTAAATGTTCAGAGCAAACTCACCAGATATGATGCAAATATCAGAACCCTCTTATGTCTCCCACAAGGCCACTGAGGGTCACTGAGCAGGTTGGGATCGTACTCCACCACCTCGTCCATAGCTGAAAAACATCATCTTTGTCAGTTAAACTGTGGAAGCAGATGTGTGCCGGTGGGTCCCACTCTGAGACATACATGCGTCTTGTGCCGCGCTGTTGTTCGGACGAGCCGGGGTGAAGTTCCTTTGCCCGTTACCACGGAAACGGGACTGGGGGGCCTGAGCTACGCAGTTCTCTGGTGCGCCGCCGCTCTTCGGTCTCACCAAGGCATTGGTTGGATAAAGGAACTGAGCGTATGACACCGTCTGAGGAGCGAGAAAAGAAGCGGTCGGCAACCTTAAAAATCAAGCCTAAATACTTGAGTAATGAGTATTTTGGCTTCTCCTCATAGCGCCGTGCGACACCTCAACGTTTACCTTGCTGTAGTCTGCAAGCTCCACACCTTCCAAGGAAGGCAGCAGGTCAACTGCCACCACAGAAGACAGCCTCTGCCTGTGGGCTTCCAGCTTGGGGTCACTGTTCAGAAAGAGTCACATCGGTGTCATCCTCACCACATGACGAAGTCACACCGCCGTCACACATCCCTTACAACGATGATGACGATGATGATGAGAAATCAAACAGCCTGATGATGGGAACATAAAAGCGATGGGTGGGCGCTCTGCCTGGGACGCTGCTTTCATTGTACCTGACGTGAGCACTCTCTCCATAGGGCAGCACTGAGAAAGCAGCATATAGCGACCGCTTGGCACAAATCAGCACGATCCTGCAGGACACAGCAAGTTAAGGCAGACAAAACAGACGGTGTGTCAGTCTACAAGCAACAGCTACGGGCAACAGCCACTTTCCTCGCAGTGTTAGTTATAGATTGAGCTACATCAACCACAGAGACACTTTTATGTGGATCTGAATCACTACCAAAGCGGGACAGCTTTCAAAACACTACATGCGGCTCAAAGTGGAATAAGAGGAAAAACCCTCGTTTGTGACCTTCTTGTATTTCCATTAATCCAAAATTAAGCGGTTTTGATCATCAATCAAATGTAATTACAAAGCAAAGAGGTTAAACAAAACAGCTTCAATCATGCTCCAAATAGAAATGAGCTAGTTGTAATCCGATGCAGATATCTGGAGTTCAAAGGTCACGTACACAAATGAGAGACACATGCTGGGGCTACAAGCTGGAATTACAACAACAAACTAAGTATACGTTCAAAAGACCTCTTGCATTGAGAGGAAGAAAGTAGCCAAACGCCCAGTCTATTTACAGCCACTGAACAACAAAACACCAATTAGTAACAGAAAGACTCTGTGAGAGGTTTGAAATATCATACAAGGGACAACATAGCAACACAGAAATCTACTTGTGTTAATTAGCGTGGATACATAAGCTAGATGGATTGCCTAGTAAGCCTAGTCGGTAACATGCGCTGCCTCACACAGAAAGGGAGACTGGACGGGCCGTTTGAGATTGCTTCATTGTCGCTGTGCTCAGATCAGAAGGAAACACATGACTCATGTTGGGCATGAAATGGTCGAGTGAAGGAAAAAATGTTAAAAAAAACAATAAAAGTGGAATTCAAAAACAGGCGGTGTGGCAAAGTGGAAAAAAAATATGACATGCCGTTTGCAGCCGGTGACTAAACATTCCACTAGAAAGAACTCCTCAGTCATGAGGCCCTTCGTGCTTGGAGTTACCTTACAGCTCGCGCAACAACAGGGTGTTACGATCCGTCACTGCCCCGCTTTTGGTTTTTGCAAAGCTTCCAATGGTGATTAAATGTAGCGTATCCGGCGCCACGCAGCAGCTGCACTGCTGTTATTCCTCTGCTGGCCAAAGTGTCTGGGCCGGAGTTAAGCAGCTTATTACAATACTAGCAGGAGTGTAACCATGTCTATGCGCTAATCGCATATTTCAGAGCAGGAGATAAAGCGGCCTTTGTTTTGTTTTTTTAACACTCTTTTCAAAGGAGACTTGGTGTCTCAGCAATACTCATTGGTTCCTGGATTTATTTGTAAATGTATTGGTTTCCGTAAATTGGAGACTCACCTACATCCCCTGGTGTCGTACTGTCTCATGCTTTTGATGAAGTGGACTTTCTTTGGCACTTTGGGACCCGGAGAACCGGAGACATTCCTCAACCTGAGTACCGTTGGAGAAGAACAAACATCAACAAAACAAAAAGGACCCTCTAAATGAGGAGGATCGATCTGTAACATGCAACATGTAATTCTCTTTAACGCCAAACATTCAAAATGAAGCACCGCACAAGAGTTATGTTGTATCATAAAGCAGGATAGTGGCTTTGATTTACATCCAAGATATTGAGAAACATTGTTCAACATTGAAGATTGCAGGTAACAAGCCTATTGTAACCCTATTATGTCTGTCTATAAAGTCTAATAGCAGAAATAGGTGACATTTTAAACACATTTCACATGTCAAAGAACAAGAAGACACTTTGCTGGTGCTCCGTACAGGAGAATGAGGGACTTCCTGTCAGTCTACCTGCTGCTTTCATTGTATCCGGAAGTGATCGACTTGGGCTGTTTTTAAAAAAAGGCCTAACTGTTTGTTTACCTCGGCCGTGAATCCAGGGAGCTGGCGGCCGGCACCGGGCTGATAGCGGCCGGAGCGGATCTGACACGGGAGGAGGCCGCGTGTCCTCCGGTGGTAACAGGAGACAGCGGGGTGTCCGGGGTCAGCGTCTCGGCCGCACCACCACCCTCCAAGAATACCTCGTTGGCTCCCACGACGGTCGCCCCGCCGGGTCCCGTGGATATTACCGTAGAGAGCCGGGCGGGACCGACTGCCGCTGGAAAACCGGAGAACGAGCCGCTGCCGGCGTCGGCGGGTTCGGTCACCTGGGTGACCGGTTCTTGGCTGTCGGCCGGGGGGGGCACGAACGTCGCGGCGCCGTCTCTGTCCCGGAGTCGCTGCTCTTCGGCGGCTTTTCGGTCGGTATTTCCATCGCTTGGCTGACACTGGGGCCGTCCATCGAGGGAGATGTTGTTTAGAAACAACAACGCAGCTTGTCTCCTTCTTGAATCCTTCGCTTTCCTCCGGTGTTCCCGGTGTGTTTTCCCCTGTTTGCCGTTGTTACCGGTGGACTGCAGACCGCAGACGGCGGTCGCCATTCTAGTTTGAAATGTGGCCGTTGGACGCGAAGGCAACTGGAGACCGGTAGCACCACATTGGTCCCGCCCCCCGTCGGCAGTGATTGGCGGTAGTGGAAACAATTTATCATGCTCACCGTTGATTCGCTGCAATAAAGTAGTGGGAGGTGCTCTGAAAACAAAGGTGGCAATTGCTAAATTCACCAATAAAATGTTTTTTCGGGTTCATTTGTATTTGTATGAACACAATTTACTACTTTTTAACAGGTTATACACTTATGCAATGAAAAACTATAAAAGGCCAATCAGATCAAACAATTTGTCCCATGCTGGAAAACCCCAATATGATATATTTTGACTATATTGCATTAGCAAACCCCAATCTTAAATTATTAAACTGTGAGAGTATGAAAGAGTTTAGATTCAAGAAACAAAACAAAAAGACAACACAAAAAGGTGGAATCAAATATTTCCCACCAAAACTAAGCTTAGCTTGGCCATTATGTAGAAATATATCATTTAGAGAAATTAAACGCCCTATTTTGAGTGTTTGGAGCCATGCCAGCAGCATGCTGCGTGGATGAAAACATCTGACATTATCTACTCGCCTGTCCAAACACGCCGTGTTAAGCTCGTTTCTGTGTAAAAAATATAAAAAAGGACTTACAGCAAAACTCAGGTAAACACATTGCTCTTTATTTTAGCAACAACACCATAATGAAATTGTCTTCACCTTCTTTTGAATTATTTTCTTTCTTGTTCTGAACAGCAACCGCCTGGTACGACCAGTTTAAGGCTTTTTGATTCTAGCTTTGTGTTTTGAGGTACAGCCCTGCCATGACGAGCTAATTGTATGGTGCACCGTGTGGTAGTGATGATGTAATGGACTCAAACAGTTAGCACCATATTCGAAACCTCTCTGGCTTTTTTTCTTATTATTTTTTACTGCAACAGCGTTGTAAAGGTGTTAAATGGGCTTTTATGCGTTCATTCTGGTGTCATCTGGGGGAAATTGAGCTGACTGGACAGTGTTTACAACAAAACTGTCTTATCTCAATGACACATTTCAAATTAACTTAAATGTACATGGCAGGACTCCCCTCCCCCCACATACAGCCATACACATGCTGGTATATGAGCTCACACATACATACACACAAAAACACACAGTTCAGAAATCTCCTTCTTGTGACTACTCTATACAAAAACAGGCCTGATAAAATAAAGTACGGTTTCACTTTATTTCACAGGACCATGAATTTGTGATCATTTTATATAGGGAGGTTCCTGGAAAACAATGTTTAGCACTGATTATATATAAATAAATGCCAAATAATGCATTTATATTAAATGCTAAGCGTGACCATGACTCTACAAGTCAGAAATGTGTAATTAGTTGAGCATGGTGAGTATTCAATTCATCATATATGAAGAATTTTCCAATAATTTGTGGATAATGAATAGATTATTTTGGGGATTAAATAGACCATAGTCTATATTCCCTTCAACGCATATCCAGGTAAAATATATTTATCTTGAGAAAAATGAAAATTAAACTTCCAATACTGTAAAATAGAAATGTTACCACAAGTTTCACACGCCTGTACCATCAATAATATCAAAGCTATTCCGAGTCTGCAGCTAATTATGTTCGCTCTACATTATTCAGACAACATAGTATGGATACAGTATTTTAACCGACAGTGTGGTCCCTTGGTAACGTCCTCTTCATTTTACAGTTTAACTTACATGGAAATGAGGGTCTGGTTTCCTTTGCTGTGTAAAGTATGAAAATACACATGTTGAGAGTCCTATCCGAATACATCTTGTAAATCATAATGTAACTATTGTTCAGTACACATTCTGGATGAAGGTGCATCATACTGGAATAACATTGATGGCATGTCCCAAAAACAACAGATTGCTTGTAAACACACAAATCTTTTTATCCTAGCTTACCTGAAGAACGAAAAACAAGTGCTGTACCACAGGGATGTTGTGAATCCCACTGACAACATAAACGCTCGAAGCCTGGTCACAAATAATCACGTTTTCAACTGTTTTTACATTCAGCATTTTCAGAGAATCCTTCAACATGAGTGAGTAGCTATGGTAAATTATGATTATGATCATCAGTGCCTGTGATTTCATTATTGTAGTTTGGGTTTAAAATTACAGTGCGAGTTCTCCACCTTGAAACGCCGGTCACCATTCCACATCTGGTTCGATGACGTTTCCTCCCCAGCTGCCATAAATAATCACGCATGTTGAAGGCTCGTCTTTGTTGTTGGCCGACTTGAGAGGATGCGCAGAAGCAACCTTCTCCGGAGGGCCTCGGATTGTGGATCAGCTCCACTTCTCTGACTACCTGTGCTTCTCTCTAACTCCACCGGACAGCAAGTTCCCTGCTAACGTCAACCTCGTGTACCACACCCCGACCTGAGAAATGATACAGAACCGAAATATGCACCATCGTCACACAACATCACAGCACTTTGCCTTTGTAAGAGATAAAGACGCCACACTCTCACACCTGTTTCTCCGCTAAGTGACCATGCAGAGAGCAATCAAGTTGGGCGCGGCGCGCTGACACAGACTGCTCAGTGACAGTCCTCCACCTGCCACGTCATTTAAGGCAGGGTGTGCACGCGGCACGCGGCTCAAGCTCGGCAACAGCACCGTCGGCGCGTCACACGGTGGTCTCGTACTCCATCACTTCTTTGGGTGTGCCCAGACACCGGTACTGAATCCTCGGCGTGACCGGGGCGGCGCTTTCCAGCACCAGGACGGTCTTGCGCAGCCGGCGGTCGATGAAGTGAGCGTCCCAGGCGGGGTACTTCTTCCTGGGCAGGTCTATGCGGATGACAGGCCCCTCTGTTCTGGGCGTTAGGTTGGGCGCCGGGGCCTGAGCTCCCCGGAGTGCTCGCACCTGAAACACGTCTGCGTCCACCCCGGAGCCCCGTTCTCCTTCTGACCCTTTAGTTCTCTGAAGGGTCCTGGGGGGGCTGCTCACCACGTCGGGGGGGAGGCTGGCTGCCGGAGAGGCCAGCGTCTCGACAGGCACCTCCTTCGCCACGATGTAGCCCCACCCGGAGATGGGGCCGTCGGGGTGCAGCAGACAGTAATACACGAACATGAAGAAGGTGCCCAGGGCGTAGCTGCTCGCCACCGCGCACACCATGATGACGGCGTAGAAGTCTGAGGTACGAGGGTCGCGGTACAAATACCAGGCAGTGGTGAGCGCCACATTCTCAATGAACACAGTCAGGCTGTAAATGAGCATCCTGCAGCGAGTGCGCCCTTCCCGAACACTGAACCAGCAGAAAACGTATACGATGCCCACCATCATGTTATAGATGATCTCCTCCCACTTGGACATGCAGAAGTCCGTCTCGCCTTGAATGATCCAGAACGTCATGATGCACCAGTGGGCCACGATGAAGATGCCGAAGTAAAGCTGGAACACAGAGGCAAACAGGGCAAAGGCCAGCGTGCGGGCGCCGATGGTAAACAGGTGCCACAGAATTTGAACTATGACGGCCTTGTAGGTCATGGGTAGCTTATCGTCCCGGGAGTCCCTCAGGGCTTTCTGGTAGGAGGCGACCATCCAGGCGAGAGATATCAGTGAGGCGGAAGCTGAAAGCCCTGGAGAGACAGAGGGAAGAGAGAGACGCGCAAGAGAAGTTAGACTTGATGAAAACAGCTCGGGGGCTGACTGTCGCAACGTTTAGCACGACAGAAATAAACATTTCTCTGCTCTGTTGGAGGCCGACTGAGGCGCATCAGGAGTGACTCATCATACATAGCATGGGGTCACGGGACCTGCGGCTGACTGATGTAGTGATTGGCCATTTTGGGACACTCACCCTGAAGGGGCAGCACCTGAGTGGCCTGGTTCATGATGCTGAGCTGCAGAACCAGCTGGGGGGCGCTCTTCAGGAAGGACTCAAGCAGACGGAGCATGCTGATATCGGCGCTCTCAAACATCATGCGCCAGTAGTAGTGCCGGCGCTCGGGGTCCCTGTGCCAGCGGCTCTGCACACCCAAATACAGGGCGTGGACGTACCTGTGTATCAGAGGCAGACGCAGTTCAAACACATTGACTTGTGTATTGAGGCAGGATTTTAAGGTTTTAAAAACTGTGCTTCAAAAACTTTTGGACTTAACTTTGTTTCAAGCTCCGGGAGCTTTAAAAAAAAGCCAGCTGATTGCTCCTCTGGGATTCCAACTAGACTGAACTAAGCAGCTCTGTGATTTTAGTACCGGCATTAGAGGGGGTGAATGTGGAGCTTCTCTTCGTATGAAATCAGCGTGAGTGCTGCAGAAGGAGGCTAAATATGAGCAACGAAAACACACTCAATCTAGTCTTTAGATTCAAGGTTATGAAGGGATGGGGAAAAAAGAGCTCGCTATAAATCCCTTGTTGAACTCCTGAGCTTTGCTGACATGTAGTTCCACCCCCATGCAGCTTGTTCAGTCATGACCTTGTCTGGCAAACACACATCGTTTTGTAGACACACAACTTCTCATACTTGCACTGTGCAAACATAATTCTGTAAAAGTGCACTGACACGTTGAACCACGCAAATACACACTGTGTGAATCATTTCTCTTAAAAAAAAAAACACACAAATAAAGTGGCGGTTGCCATTGACTGAAGCTATAAATGTGCATTAATTGCTCGGGGGGAGAAGAGTCTGAGGGCCTCTATGTCAACGAGCTCATTGAATCACTAGAGAGTTTGTGTAACCTTTTTTTGTTCTGCTTCCTACAAGTGCTACCTTGGGACGTAACACGCTGAGAAGAGAAGAGCACGCGTGCAATAATGAGGGTGAAGGACCTACACGCAGACACTCTGTGATGCTCTCCTGCGCTGACATTTAATTCGGGTAGATCCCGGTTCACCTGACTAACAGTGTATCGGTGACGGATCATTCCGAGTTAACATCCGAGGGTGAAACACAGAGCGGTAATCCTCTTAATGGGCAGACACGCCGGTCTGAGAGCAGCGGCAATGAACGGACGACACGCACAACAGCTTTAATGGCATTACCGGTAATTCTGTGCCGCCACAACGCTTTAATGGGCTCCTGGACACACTCACACAAGTCTCAGTCTCCAGGAGGAAATAAGAAATCAATATAAATAGGGCTGTCTAAAGAGGCAGGAAGAGAGCGACCACAAAGACGGAGAGAAGGGGAGATTATGATGGTTTACGGATAAATCAAAGAAGGGATGTGCATCCGATTTCACAATTACACATAGTCTGTGTGCAGCATTATATGCCTAGAAAATACAACCTGCCCTTGAACGTCATCACATTTAGTCTAACCCTCGTCCCATCACGGTTCAGCTGGATGACCCCTCCTGGCTGGCAGCAGTTCAAGCCTGTCAAAAGCTATCAGAGCACTCGGAGCTTGAGCACTGCCTCAGCCTCGCTGATTCAGGAGCTGACCTACAGACCTACTAGGTCTCGCATCCATGTGGGAGGAGAACGTGTAACCCGCTTGTTTAGAGTCGGCGCGTGTCTGATAATTAAACATGTTGGGGCTCCACTGAGAGGAATAGACTGGATCTGAAAACTGCTGGGGGATTTGAGAATTGGGATTTAGCAAACATAAGAGCAGGAGCCTCAAGCTAAGAGCTAAAAAATACTCAGTGAAAGGAAGGCGGTGCACAGATTAGTGGAAATAGGAAGCAACTCTCGTGACATTTAAGACTATTAATTTTCTTTCGTATGCTTCTTGCCAAAAAACCCTAAAGACAAAGGGAATAATTTGAGTTCATTTATATAAAGCGGTTGGTGTGGATGAGTTGATGATTTTCCAGTAGGATGATTGACCTAAAAGCGCGTCGGGAGGCTTGGGGGTGGGGCTGGGTGGAGTCTAATTCTCCCTTTCTAAGCTGGGGACACGTCAAACAATACAAAAAGACTACAGGCATTCTGGGCACAGTCCTCCCTGAATTATCTACTTTCATAAGCGTTCAGCTTCAGGTGATGTGATGCTGGGGCCATATGAAGAATGCATGTGCACAAACAGCCAAACACACACACACACACAAAGGCAGAATGTGTATTGTCCCCCCCGCTCAGGTCCCGTTTTGTTCAGACTCACCTCCAGACCTGCGCCAGCTGAAAGATGTGAATGATGGCCTGGAAGAGCCACACGAAGGCTCTGCAGCAGCCCCGGACTCCTCCCCCGGTGCCCGGTCCCGGCAGCGACCCGGCCTCCGCGGAGCGGCCAGCGCCCCGCTCGCCGCTGTCCGTGGTGCTGAAGTCGCTCTGCCCGGCGGTGGACGCCCCCCCTCCCACCACGGCGGCGGCCGCAGCCGCGCCGCTCTCGACGGTCTCCGTGAAATCGTAAGCGAACCATCGGAAGCTCAACACCTGCACGACCACGGACGGGATCACCACAAAGACCAGCGTGAGGGCAAAGCACCAGTAGGAGCCCCTGAGGTAGTAGTCCGCGGCCAGCCACAGGTCTGAGGCCCCGTCCGAGAAGAAGACCAAAAGGGCGCACAGCGTCCAGCAGCAGTCCGGGACGGAGTAGCGCTGCTCGGCCGCGCGGTGCCGGGAAGGCCGCGGGTCCGACCCGGAGGGACACTCCGCTGGGATTTCGTTTCGTAGAGAGACGGCTGCACCGTCGGATTTCGCGGCCATGTTTGTTGTAGGGAAGAGAGTGAGTAAGAGATGGGGAAATGATGGAAGGGGGAGTGGGGCGGTGGGGGGGGTCGCGTAGCCCGTCGCTCCGTATGCATGCGTGTCGGATAGAGGGAGGGAGGGGAGGGAAGGAGGGAGGAGGGGCCGGGTAGGTGAGGAGCATCGGGAGCTCACCCAGCGGTGGTAATGATAATATAGGAGGATTTAATCCCTCTGCTGCTACGTTCACTGTACAGCGGGCTGAAACGGGATCACAAATGGTTATGCTGAATTTGTAGTTTTGTCCAGAAGTAACTCAGATAATTTACTTTAATGTACAGGAAGTAAGTCATAAGCAACATGCACTAAGAAGTAACAGAATTCAAACGCATTCTCTGCGACAGATGAGTTACATATTTAGTCGCTGCTGCTTCTTTATGAACGTGTAGGTCGCCTTTGGTTACTGGAGCTGGATCACGTGGTGCTACTTTGACCTTAACGTCAGGGGCCCTCAAAGGCGCCAAGAGATACAGAACATTGAGTTGTTCAAATAGTCTGGGCCATCAGAGAAAAACCGTTGCAGAACAAAAATGTGTTTCTCATTTTCGTGCGTATAAATAATTAAGAAATAAAAAAAGAACCCAGATGAGATGATTTTTCAAGCGGGTGGGGTATGACGTTCCTTTTGGATAAATGTTGCTCTAAATATGACTCCGCAATTGTATTTGACATCTTAAGAGACCTCAATGTCTCGCCAGCATTCTGAGGTGGATCAGCTGATTGACTCCGGTCGGCCTGCACTTGCATCAAGCCAACCACGTGTTTCTGTTCTGCCGCCGAGCGTTTCTCCCTCTGTGCTCCTCCCTCAACAGCAGCGGTGCCAAATGCTCAGCTACGAGTCTGGCGACTTGAGTTGAGGCTGTCGTTTCTGCCAAAGAAAACCAACAGTTGCACTTTAAGCTTGTCGAGAATCTCTGAGGTTATTGATCCTCTCACGACTTTGTTTTTTTTATAAATTATTATTGTGAGTACTGCTCGGGACAAACAGTATTGAGCAAATTAACTCAATTTCCTGATTAACAAACAATGGTAGAAACAGTTTAACACATTGGACAACATTCAGGAAGAAAAAAAAAACTAGACAATGAAAATGTACTAAAATTTAATCATTCATAAAAGCTGGAAAAGCATCTGTGACAGCAATATTAGAGTCGGTTTAGTACAATGTATTTCAGCCTCAAGACACAGATCAGAACACACCATTTCCCCCATCAGTCTATAAAATACTAATTTCCTTAGCTGTATTATGCAAAAATGGAAGTAGAATATATTATGGGAAATATGGAAGGCCTGCAGCTCTCAATAAAAAACAAAGTCACTTAGGAAAGATGTTATTCCATCAATACACATCCTTGAAAGTAGGAGCGACGCATGGACTATGGTGCATCTTTGTTGACAGTGTTAGTGCAGAAATGCATGTAAAGTTCAACACAAGGTTTCCTTTTGCAAACATAGTCACATTATGCCAAAGATTGATGTTACTTTAAAACATTTAAGTTTCCATATATGGATTTGAAACCATGGTATCTTCTTTTACACAAATAATTAAAAAAGAAAGACACTGTGGAGAAGAAAGAACAGCAAATAAAACAAAAAACTGTTGTCATCAGTGACGATAAAAAAAAAAAAGTGGATTTCTTTGCTGTTAAAAAGCAGAAGAGCATCTTGAGAGTATGTGCCGTCTCCTGCCATCAGTGAAGTATTTCTTTCTGCCTTCTTCTAAAATGCTCTGGAGAGGACTTGGAATGCTGACACGATCCACTGGGAAACAGTTTATCATGACACGTTTCTGTAAGCAAGAAAAGAATGATGTCAGCGGATATTAAACCCTGTGAATGAAATGCAGAGAAGACAGGAAGCTCCGTTTGGAGCACACGCCTCAAACTCAAATGACCGGGGAGCCACTGGGCCGGTTGTTCTCGCCTTTCCAACATTTTGGAAATAAAGACTGTTCTTAAGAAGACTTCCACTTACTTTGCAGTGACCGTAATTGACCATCTGGCTACAGTAACGTATCACATTCCCTCACTAGACAATGCAAATATAGCCACTGTTATGAGATGAGGATTCTCCAAGAGTGGACAACCAGCATCATAACCAGTATTACGTCCACATAAAGGGATGAGTCGATAATTATTCCACCTTGAAACATTAGCCAGGTGTTAGTGGGAACCTTGAAACATGCTTTGCCTGATGTAATCCTTCCTCCTTTTCCAGTATCAGTTGTCAGGTTGCCATTGGCAACCAATATTTGTCCTTTGGTTGCCATCTGTGGTAACCATGTTTAATATATAAAAGAATAGGGACATGGAACGGCAAAACATGCACCCTCATATAAAAAACAACGCGATAGATAGAGATAGATATTATATATAATGTTTGTTTCATTCGTGATACTTAAATATTGCTGTAAAGAGAACGGGAACAACGCTGCACGTTTGTTGACTTGTTTTTCACTCATGTGCCCAAAGACATTTGTTTGAGTTAATTCTGTATACCAAGAGTTGAAGGTGGACACGCTGACTGATGAGATCAAAAACCTGTAAAGTATCATAAAACATGAACTACTGCTGAGCCATGACATGAGGATGTATAGACAAAGCAAGTATCTTCCAAAGCAAACGCATCTTTTAACAAAGCTTGCAGTTTTGTTTTTATATTCCTTTTAAATTTAGTGATGTATCACAGGGAGACGTTTCTACTGCTGTCAATGCCCTAAAGGGAAGTTTAATTTCATTTGAGAAGTTTACACACCATGAATGTCACCATGATGATTTTGTTGAAGTGTTGGATTTTCATATTAAATGAAAAGCCCGTACAGCAATGATGGGAAACCCCCCTGACGTTGCTTTAGGAAGCAGTGGATGGCAAAGTCAAAAACATTAGAAAACGGGCCGGAACACAAAGTATTTTTCTGGCATATTTAACTACAGTTACAACATTCCACCAGCAGGTGGAGCAACAATATTCATGAAAGAATAAAAGTCATAACATTTGGATAAAACATTAAAAGATGATGATTATTAATAATAATCATGTTTAATAATAAACATGATTATTATTATTTGTTATTATTTTGAAGTAACTTGGTTTACTGGGTGTTTGTTCCAGGCACTCTCGTGTACAAACCGCACCACAAGGGAAAAAAGGAACTAGAGGGCGTATGTATTCTTGTTCGCCCCCCCCCCCGCCCCTGCAAAAATATGCAATTCATGAGTTATTGTTACATAGTTTTCAGTGACGCGTTAAACCCTCTTTAACCAGTTCACCTGGTTAATGAGACACAAAACTTACCTGCTACCAAAATGAACCAAATGCCTCTAATAATTGCTGCAATAAACCTCTAAACGTTCAATGAATTTCCCCTTGTTCGGTGTGCAGAGGGAGGCCGGCTCATGTCTGAAATACATTTAGAATCAACACCCACTCACCTGGCCTGGAGCTGCTGTGGGCGGGCAGTTTAGAGCAGTGTGCAACTCGACTTCTTTTTTGTCTTCTTCTCCATCGGCGTTTTTCTGTTGATCTGTCTCACCAGATCATAGAAAATCTAAAGACAAGAGAAAGGGATGGTTTTAAAATATTGAGCACGGAATTGGGGAATAAGGACATTTAAATGGCACAGCATCAGTGGTTCTGCTCCTCGATTGTGACCTACAACGCGTAAACACATGAAAACACCTGGAGTTACGCTGTTTGTTCCATCGTATTCTTCTTCGGCACCAAAGTTACGGTGGATAAAATGTTTGTTTTTAAAGCTGAATCATAACTTGTGTGTGTCGTTAAATCGGGGCCGCACTTACCTCATTAACATTGATCTTTGATTTAGCTGAGGACTCTAAGAAGGCACAGTTGTTCCACTGGCGGGCCAGGTTCTGACCCTGCTCCTTTCCAACCACACGCTCGTCCTCCAGGTCACATTTGTTTCCCACCAGGATCATTGGAACCTGGTTGATTAACAGAAATGTTAAAGGGTTGGAGCCTCTGGGCAACATCTTGGTGCGTAGAGCATTTTAATTGTTACACAGAATGATTCCTTTGGTTTAAGATCATATTTACTGTAGATGCAACAAGACAAAATAAAGGAACCTGCTATGAATGAATAAATAAACCACACACACACAAAATTCAGAGATGAAGAGGCTGTAAGTGGATTTAAGTAACAGCTGACATTTACACCCAGTCAAAGTTCCTCCCCCATCACTCTGCCCTCTATCCCACAGAGCCTCCAGTGGGGGAGTGATGAGCCAGAGAGGCGACACGGGCAGATTGTAGAGAGAAGTGGCTGAGAAAAGAGGTCACCTGCCTTACAATCAGATCATCACTAAAACAACCAAGAGGGAAAATCATGGGCCTTCTAATGGTTTCACTTTAAGTGAAAGAAAGTTTTTTTGCGGTCATTTTTCTCTCTTCTGTACGTCTGTCTACGCGTACAGCAATTGAATATTCATTTTTTCACTATGCAAATGTATAGTCTGAAGGGATTCATAATATTGCAACTTCTATAGAGAATCAAATCCAGTCACATTACTCTTTAACCTTTTTTTTAATTTAGCAAACAATGTAGAGCAATAGAAAACAGGGTTTTCATTCATTTTATCTACCAGTACGTACTTTAACACCAATCAGTTTCAAAAGATTCACACTCACGTCCTCTGTGTCCTTTACTCGCAGGATCTGTTCCCGGAGGTCCTGAAGGTCATTGAATGTCGACTGCGCTGTAATGGAGTACACCAAAGCAAACCCTTGGCCATTCTTCATGTACAGGTCCCTCATAGCCGTGAACTGCTCCTACAGATCCAAAGCAGAGAGGAGCCATCAGCAGCAAGTTCACCTTCCATCTCCATCTGATGCCCGTGTTTGCCTGGACTTACTGTTCCAGCCGTGTCGAGGATTTCCAGCATGCATTGCTGCCCGTCGACCTCAACTTGCTGTTGGATAAAGAAAGGGGGGGGGAGTAAAGCACATTTTTCTTATAAGAAACATAAGGCACTTTAACAGCCAACCCGTGTGTTTCTGAGCCTACCTTTCTGTAGGAGTCTTCAATTGTGGGGTCGTACTTCTCCACAAAAATGCCTTGCACAAATTGGACTGTCTGAAATGTACAAATGGAAGAAATGAACGAAAAAGATTTAATGAAGTAGATCATTAAATCAAAAACTGTCCCTGGAAAAGCTACTTCTCAAAATATAAAAACACACCTAAGTAAAATGTATAGAATATATTTCCTCTAAAAAGACTCGCCGGTCTTACTGAAAGCTGTACTTAACACCTTAACATCTTAACACCATTTGACGACAACAACGTGACACGCATGAGGACTCAGCAGCAGCAGCTATCACTCACCAGTGCAGATTTTCCCACGCCACCTGATCCCAGCACCACGAGCTTGTACTCACGCATGGTGGGCGACTTCACGGGACGGCACAAGGGTCTGTGCACAGACGGAGGGAGCGATGAAGAGGCAGAACTCGCTAAACCCAAAACACCTTTTTTATTACATTTTCTCTTAAAATACTATCTTAATTAAGGAAGAATTTCTTAACAGTACTGTTAGACAAAGCAACACAAACAAAACTCAGCGCAGCTCCATTTTCTTTTTTCCCCAACATTGTTTATTTACACACCACACATGTACGTACGTAGTGGTTCGACCGCATTCCCCACCTTCGTTCTGCACGTTTCATTTTAAGGTTTATGTTACTGTAAATTACTCTTGAAATTATGTTCAAATACATTACAAGAAACTTTAAACCGGACTCAAATTCCTGGTACATGTAAACATACTTGGCTAAGAAAGACAATTCTGAATGCAATTAAAATACTTGTTTTTTTCCCCCTGCAGAAATTGTACCAAACTCTGTATTAGTAACAATGTACAGTGACTGAAGTAGTAGAGCTGATGTAAGGGTGAACACCCCGTCAGTACAGAGCCTACAACAGTCAAAAATCACCACTGACATCAGCAGATTAAAACGCTGCTACTCCGCCAAAAATGTGGCCGTCTTTCCCACCCACTATCATGGGACTTCAGCTGTCAAGACGATGGGCGTCGCCTCAGAAAGAAGAAAATCAAGACGGGCTCCGGAAATCAAAGACATGCTCCTCAACTCCAGAGATTCAGACGGGCAAATCAACAAGCAACACTTTCCTGCAATAATAGTTCCGTGCCTTTTTTAGTAAAAATGTGCAACATCTGAACTGTAATGTGTGAAAAGTTCAATACGTTCCAAAAAAGTGAGTGTGAGTAGATAAGGGTTCCTGTGTCGCAAATAACTTCCCTATTATGCGAAGGAAAGAGGTCACAGACAATTAACTCCAACGGACTGAAAACGCTAAATGACCTAGAAAATATCAAGCCAGAAGACTGATGTGTGTCGTCTTTATTATCCAGGGACAAAATATTTGACAACCATGACAACGGGGGGCTTGTCTTTTGTAGTGTAATTTTGCAACACAGCTTAAATTGTTTTTTTTTTTTTACCAAACACCAACAATCCAACAGCTCATTGTTGTGGTTTTCATTTGGAAATATTTCAGAGAACGCATGTGTCGAGCTGCCTAGTTTGATAGATCTGACTCAAAGAGGGAGAAATTTAAGGTGAACTTTTTCAAGAATAATGAATGGCAACAGAACAAAAAAAACACTAGAACGAAATTCAGTGAAATACAATTTGCAACCATGTACAAAGGAAGATGTGGTTTAAAGTGTAACCCGTCCTTAAAAATAGTAATTAAAAAACACAAGCAATCTTCACCTGATGTCCAAAAGGGCGTGATGCACACGAAAATCTCATTTACGAACCTCTTTAGATCTACTAATCATAGTAGGTCTGTTGGATATTTTCCAAAATGTGGAAGCAAACAATACAAAAAAACACTCTGTTCCACTCCACCGGCATTTGCAATTCCAACTAGGACGTATGAAGCACCACCAGAAACCCACAGTGTGAGACCGGCACACAGGGAACTCCACAAAGAGCCATTGTAATGACCCTCCTCTACTCAAGTACACCATACAAACAGAAAATGGAGATCAGAGGGTGCATCCATAACCAGTGCACTGAAATACAATTACCATGGCATGTGGGGGGTGAACCTCGGATGACATCAACGTGTGCCTGATACAAAATGTAGGCGAAGCACCCCGTGTAAGATGTAAATGTGTATGGGTGTCACAAAAACTCAGTTCTAAGCCCTGACTTCAGATATGAGGGCTAAGCCTGCGCCCGATTAGATACGAGCCTGGACACAAACATTTCAAGTATTAAACACTTGAGCTGATAACCTTCACCAAACTCCTAAACACTTGCCGGTTTCTCATTAGCACCTACATTCCTGATCAAGAAGTGAAGAGTGGACATCCAACAAAAACTGAGAAACCAGTTCGACCTACTGTGTACACGGCTGCTGCAGATGACAACTCCCTCTACATCTGGGGAGGGAGGGGGGGCCGGCAGATCCTCAGGTATACAGATGTTAGCGGGCAGATGCTGAGGGTCGTTCGGGAAAAGGGGACTCCGCCAAACTGGTCAGACAGGAACCGGGCCCTGAATTGAACCAAAATATTGAAGTGTTTACGGTCAGCCTAAATTAATCTGGGATTGCTACGAGTTTAATAGAAGAAATTGGAAGGATTATTATAATCATCTGCTGAGCTTCTACGCGGGGAATTGACGTGCTGTGTGGGTCTGCTAATTAGGACGTGAGTTGTCACGTGTTATATGACCAACAAAAAGTATTCCGTGAAAGACCTGTTGCTGATCAACATGCAAGCAGTAAAAAAAATATCCAGGATTTTCTAAAACATCTATTACCTGGCTGGACTTTTTAAAAAATGTTGGGTTACTCATCTGTTCCAAGTCCGTGTTGGATCATGAATGACAGAGTCAAGAGGGGGTAAATTACTTTAAACGTAACGTTAGTAGACGAGCACAACAACGCTTATAATTTAATAAAGCTTTAATAAACTTATATCATCTCAAACTACGCCCTCAACACTTAAACGCTAGATACCGACATCCGATTTATTCAGAACTTAAAGCGAAACGTTAACGTAACGTTAACGGCACTTGCTTTCGAAAGGAAGGGTGTGGCTATTAGTTTTACTCCGCACTAGAGTCGCCGTAACACCGTTTAATTCAAACAGTACAACTCGGCGTCGTACTATATATTGACGGATCAACATATCGAACATAAGAATGTTACGTTGAGCGTGAAAAGCCGTCGTCGATAGTAAAAAAAAAAACAGCGTATTCAGGCATACCAAATGTTAGCATTCGGCTAGCAGCATTTTGTAATGGCATGCTAACATCACTGGGTGTTAGCCTGGAAAGGATACGGAAAGCTGTGCAGCACGAACACTGTTAACTAACGCTGGACTGGCAGAGAAAACCAGTCGAGCTCACGGTTTAACGGTGTCCATGTCTGGTAAACACTAAATTATCTTTTATGTCGCCTAAAGGTCAACATACGTGTTTAGCTAACCCTTTTAGCAAAATAAGTTAGCTAGCCACTTAGCATTAACTCTCAAATCGTGTTTTCATTAATACTGCTAATTTTTGACTTATCAGACGTTGGTTTTGTTATTAACACGTGGACACGGTCCTTCATATCTGTAAGCGATGTAAGAGATACAGTCGGGCAAAAAACTACCTGAACCACAAATCATGTCGGTTAGTTAGCTCGTCATTAGCTGATGTTAGCTAACGTTACTCAATCCGGTCATCTGTTAAGTTAGCTTGTAAGCTAAAGCTATTTGACACAACATACATGTTTAGCTACGGTGGAGCCAGAAGGTGTGATAGTATCTCATGAGACACTATCACATTTTAGGGACTAAACAAGTAAAAACAACTTTGTTATTAGATATATAATTGCCAATTCCACGCACTGGTAAAGCTGCACAAGACGCTTACCGTGTTCCGCTATGTGTGCGCTCTCCTCTATGTGAATGTGCCAATGTACGGAAGGCTCGGAGCAGAAGCCTCTGATTGGCTCAGGATCAGCCAATCACAGCTCTCCGGGTTAAGAACAAACGTACACCTCTGCAGGTCTAATCAAGTTTATTTTATGGAAAACGTCATACGAAAAGTGTATACTCGACAAAAGGCTATTTCACAAAATGGATTTAGTATATAAAACCTATAAGAGGAATACATGGGAGCATAACAGTCATAAATCAGTTATTTATTATTAAACGTGTGGATAATAATGAGTGTTACCCATAATCCAAACATTGTGAACCTCACTAAAAAGCTTGCAAAAAGATAGTCTCCTTTTAAAAGAAGACCATGGGATACCATAGTTCATGTTTTTAAGAATTTTAGGGAGTAGGACCAGAAGGGCATCATTTACTCAGTAAATTCTGTAATTTATAAGGTTTCTTAAGAAACAATCTGGCATCTTCATAAACCCATTATAAAGACAATTGGTGTGATGCAAATGCATGTGGCCTTTTTGAACGACAACATGAGTTTGACATGGTGGAATTTAAGTGAAATGTTTTCCTGGATGAGTTGTTGTGTAGTTTGACTTAACGCCTATTTTTGCCTTTCTCATATAGACACATTGAATTTGCGTAGGTGTGTCACATTATTGGTTGCATCTAAATCATTTCTTCAGTTCATTGCCCACTTAACATTTCCATTTGCCGTTGTGTGCCTGCTTTGTTACTGCGACTGTTGTCATGACAAAGACCCACATGAAAGAACAGCAGTGCCAGCTGGTCACAGCGCAGTGACTACATGGATTAGATGTGTTTCTCTCATTGCATATCTTCCTCATTGCACTGGCTAAATGTGGAGTTTGTGAAAGGCTGTCTATCCTCGGTTGACTGAAGAATGCAAATATAATTTCATGTACTGTGTGCTGTGGAAAGTGCTGCCATGTTACTCTAGATAAACGTTCCTTCTCTTGTTAGAGAAACAAACAGATTTGAGAGCTATTCCCATGATCCCTGCCATAAACGGCAGATATCGATGTTATAAAGGGCAAAAGTTAGTCATTCAATATACGACATACAAACACACGCTACGAACAGCTTGCTGTCCTTCGGCCTCATCGTATAAACTACAGATCACCTTGAAAAGAAACGCTCACGTGTTTGTCCGTTTGGTGCCACACTGGTGATCAAGCTTTTGGGCCAAACTTAGATTCAAGGGACATCAACAGAAGTAACATTTGTTATAAATAGAATTCATCCCTTGAGCTTTATTTAGTTTCTGTGGGACGAGGAAAGGAAATGTGTGGAATGTGTTTTTTCTTTTAATCACAGCTTAATTTCAATTACAGTGAAACAATAATTCATTTAAACTGTAAATCATTGTTTGTTTGGTGGCTGTTTTGGTGAAGGGAAAACACCTCGGCCTGTTGAAAGGACGCATGTGACTCACTTAGATCTCACAGACACGTCACTCTCTTTGCTCAGTGTGTGGCTCAATGTTTGTCTTTGTGTCGCTAAATCTGAACACTGTTCATGAAGGAAAACATACGCGCATCTGGCCGATGACACATCAGAAAATGAGTATCACTACCGATGATCCTATTGTCATTCTCCAGCTCTCAACATCCGTCAAACTGCTCGGTAAGAGGAAGAAAGATTCACCTGTCACAAGTTGAAACAACACACTGAGCTTCAGCGTACTTAATATTGATTAGTTTTGTAATTACAATTTGAAGTCTGCACTGGAAGAATTAAGAAGTCAGCGACACGCCTTTATATATTCTTGTCAAGCATCTCACTGACGTTAAAGCCAACTTGTTTGATCAAAAATGTTAGTGTTGTTGTTTGATTATCATTGCCGTCACATTTATTGTTGGTTACTTTACTCAGACTGATCTGTTGACACCAAAAGTAGGAACTCGATGTCTTTGTATGCAAGTAATCCTTCCCCTTTGTGCATTTGTATTTGTGTGTTTCAACACTTGGTTACCATCTGGTGAGTGTACACAAGATACAAAGAACAACCAGCGGAGATCCATTTCAAACCGTGTTTACGATGACATCTAGTGGTTTGTCCCCTTCCATGTGTCAGAAAAATAACAGGACTTCTCCATAGAACAAAAGGGCTTTATTCCACAATATAAACTTGTAACATTGTCCCCGGAGCATCCTACGCTACATGCTGTGGTGGTGGTGACGTGTCGCCGCAGACCACCACAGAGGTAATCCAATCTGTCCACGTCGCTCTCTGTACATCACACCATCGCCAAAGCAGCAACACAACTCAGCCGAGATCGAGCCATTTAAGTCGATTCAGACAAAAATTATTGCTCAGATAAATTAACCTATTCTACAAAAAAATGGGAATAATTATATTAAGATGCATGTACTAAACACTGGATTTCAAAAAAATGTGTAGTCATTTTTTGGGGAGTAAGGGATGGAAACCGTGACTCCGATCCCCTTAGTTAACATGCACGGAGGGTCCAGAGAGATTATTAACCCATGATTATTATGATTATTACCCACTTTACAGTTCTAAAGACTCCTTAGCGCTGATGATATGGAATCCCATGCAGCGCACTTCACATCCCCAGTTTTTTTTTCTTTCATTTAGACAACCACAAACAATCCATAAGAAGAAATATATATATCTATATAGATAGATATATATATATATATGTAAAATACAAAAAATAACTAAAACATTATAGTTCTGCACAACAAGTCAAAGAGGAGATAGCACCGTTGTTTAAAAAGGGGGCAGACAGATGGGATGGGGCTTGTGGGCGGGGCCTTCGGATCAGTGACACATCCAGACTTCCGGCTCGAATAAAATGGAGTGATGACCGACCTCATCACATTCTCTTTATTTTCTCATGTGTCCATCATTCAGAGTACACCTGACACAAATGTAGTCCTCCTTCTCAGCCATCTCCGCCGTGACGCCAACGCAGACTTGGTGGAACCACTGGTTACAGCTGCCGTCACACTGGACCCAGTCCACCTGCGAGAGGGAGCGCGATTAAGTGCTTGGCCAGTTAAACACAACATTTACATTTTATTCGTTGCTGTTACGAATTTCGGGTTCACAAGTTGCTTATTTCCAGCATTTGCAGAGCTGTACTAATTATTTTTATGACGTGGGAAATCTTCAGGCTCTTAAGCTGAAAAATAAGGCATTGATGCAAAACTATTGATTATAACCAATATATATATATAATAAAATAAGCCTTGTTTGTTATTTGGATGAAGCACTAAGTTAAGTAAAAAACTATCTTGAATCTTGAATCACCTTCTTTCAAAATCTTTACACACGGCCTTATGTACACCGAGAATAAAGTTATTAGTTTTATTCATACTGGCCATTACAAGTATACTTACTATCATGCTTTCGTTTGTGGGATATGAGGGACAACGTCCACTGTCCTCTAAGATAAAGCTTCAGTGGTGAAAGTAAACAACCTTTTTAGTAAAAAACACCATCAGCATTGTTCTCGCAGACGCTTCCCATTCAGGTTGTCCCATCGCAAAAACTTTCTCTGTGGCAAAACTCCACTTAGTTCCACGATAGTTCTAATATTGATGCTATATTTGCATCATGAAAGTAATCTATTGGGAGCCGGCGGTTCCTCCTCACCTCATCTCCCTCCGGCAGCTGACACCTCTCTGCGGGACACACGGCCATCTCCTCATCGGAGTCATCGGACTGGGAGAAATCAGAGCGTGGGGAGGAGGAGGTCGAGGCCGGCCTCTTTTTATTCATCTTCTGTCTTTTATGGGAGTGCTTTTTCTCCTTCACTCGGTGCTCTGCGTTTACTCCGTCCAGATGCCGCTTCGCTTTATTTTCGGAGCCAATCGTAGCTTCCCTCCCTCCATTGACGGCATCCTGAAAATGATCATTTGAAGGGATGTTGAGGCAGTTTTTTAGGAGGCATTTGATCAACTCATCTGGCGGTAAGAGTCAGTACCTGGTTCGCTGGCGGATTCTTTCCGGAGTTAAACGGCATGTGTTCCTCACAGTCTGCGGCTTTGTCCTGTCGTGGCGACGGGCATCGGTTTGCGTGCTGACTGCTGGCTCTGTCCAATAAAACGTGGAAGAGGCTCTGCACCTCCGGCAGACACACCTGCAGCAAGAGCCCCTCCACCATCAGCTCCTCCAGATCATGGCTCAGGCCTGTCGCACGGGAGGAAAAACAACAGCCCCAACATAAACAATAACAATCCACAGGGATCCGTGACTCGTGCTGTCCAGAATAAGATGGCACCCACCCTGCAGCGGGATGCATCTCTGCTCCGTGTAGAAGACGGTCTGGTTATGGCTTGTCCTGTTCCACTCTGGAGTCAAACACGGAGCCTGCGGCAAAAAAACAGCAAACCGCCAAAACTTAACATTTGCACAAAATACTCTAGGGTGAAGTGTGGGATGAAGATTAACCTGAGTGTCGTCGTGAGCTTCGTGGCTGCCCGATGCCCAGCGGGTTAAGGTGGGAGGAGTCCCGGGTCTCTCTTCCACTTCTGGTAGGTTAAAATACTGTTTGATCTCCTGCGCTCGATGCTGCCAGTTAACAGTCCTCTCGACCAGATAGTGCAGCGCGTCGCCCTCCGGCAGGCGCACCCCGATGCGCCGCAGGGAGGCCAGCAGAGACGCGGCTTTGTTCAGGGGGGGCTTTTCTGCCCGATGGCACAGCGGACAGAGCCACGGCTGCGTTCCGCAAGAGTCCGACGGCTCTCGGACGCAAACGCTGTGGAAAGCATTTCTGCAGAGTTCACACTGTAACATCGCACCCATGGGCGCTTTCTGACAGACGCACACCTTCAGGTCCATGCAGTCGGCTGTAGGAAGGAGCTTGGACTCATTCGCCGTCCTGAGATTAGAGAAAGCCTCCATCTCTCTCACCCGCAGCTCCTCCAGAGTCGCCATCTGGGAAACCGAATACGGGCCGAGTTGGTCAGTCAATCTCCAGATAGTACGGGTTCGTTAATCTACCACCGCAGCCTCGGATACATTCATCTTAGAAGTACTTCACTTACTGCAGAGGTGGAGTCTCTGGTCTCTGAAAGAGCTTTTTCCACGTCACTGAGATTGTTTAGCCGTGGAGTTTTCTTCTTGTTACTTTTTGGCGATTCTTTTCCTTTCTTGGCTTTGCGCTTTGGAGAACCCATATTGCCAACTTCACATCTTGGACATAGGACCTGCGATTGACAAAATTGTTGTTATTTTTTGTACTGATTGGCCAGGAACGAGAGCTGCAATAACAATGACTGAGAAGGGAATGAGGGGGGGGGGGGGCACTGGATCACAGATCAAAAGCTGATTTACATGCTTGTGGTTTTGAAAGAGACGAGGGAGGAAAAATATCGGAGGTGTTTGGGGTTCTCAGAGGGAGGGAGCAGCCGTTCTTTACCTCCAGTAAGGAAAGGGTTGAGTCTCTCTGAAGGAAAGTTCGAGCTGCAGATTCTCTCCATTCTTGCACTTCTACCATTAAAGACTCGAGCCGCTCTAAAGGCTCGAAGTGGACTGGAGCGGCTTGTCCTCGTAGCACCATGTCAGAGAGGCTGTCCATCATCACTGTGCAATCACCCACCTGAAAAAGACAAACAAACAAGCGATTTCAGGATTGCAATAAAATATTAGAGAATATTTTGACATCAAACTCCCCACTAAGGTCATGCAGTGTCGAGTGCGTGCGTCCTTACCTGAAGCTCCTCAGCTTCTTGAAGCCACTCTCTGGCTTTTCTGACAGTGTCTCTTAGGAGGCGACAGTTTGAAAGGTAAGCGGGGATGCCGGACGCCTTCTCTGCTGCAGCACTAAGAGTCTCTATGGAGTGTGGTGGTCTGGCCGGTCGTGAAAACACAAATGACAGATTGTAGGTAAACCTGCATCACTTTCAAATCAATTACTGTCCTTAACAACAACCTGTCTTGGCATTTTCTTCCGACATCCTCACAGGAAACTCCAATATTTTACCAACCAACACTTTCCAAACATCCGGTATGCACTTTTCAATCACACTGTCAAAACCAAGGCTCTGTAGATGGAACCTAAATTCATAAAGTGTTTGTCAAACATCTCGGGCAACACTATAAATACTGTAACCATATGTTCAATAATGTGAAACCCAAAATGAAAATCTGCAGTAAACTAAGCATGGTGAGGGAACATAACACTCGACTACACCTGACTGGAAATTAGTTTTTTGGATAATGGGGAGATGCACATTGCTGACAGCCATGCCATTAAAGCCTTTGTAAAGCACTTGTGACAGTTAATACTGAACAGCAATGAGTACCAATGGAATGACGGCAGAACTAAATGTGTGCTCACTTTTTGTTGGTCTTGTTGAATATTCTATCGGCGGCATTTTGCATTAGCTGTAATTAAAACGAAGCAAAATCAGCAGCACCGATGTAATGTTGACATTATTCACGTACAATCAGTGCAAAGACCTGGACAGAAAGTTACAGTTATTAACAGAGCCGCCTATCACGTCTTCTTGGGGACTCTTCTTGGGCCCCCTCGCCCCAGCGACCACCCACCCTCCCCGTGGCTTTGATGTAGTCACGGATCCGTCGATGCTGTCCTCACCTGGCTTTGAGGAGGCTGCTCGCCTTGTCCTCCCAGTGCTCGGACACAGTGAGCAGCTCCTGCAGGCGTGCCATGGCTTTCTCCACGGACGGGTGAGCTTCCAGGCCGACCCCCTGGTCGATGAGCTTCCTCATGGTCTCCAGGGTCAGCGTGGAAGGCTGGGCGCTGGCCTGCTGCGCCCCCTCCAGCCAGCGCGCCTGCTCCAGCCTCACCCGCAGGCGGGGCAGCTCGGGCAACTCCACGTCAAAGTCGAAACTGACGTCCAACAGGCTCTGGATCTCGGCGACGCCGGGAGCTTCGTCCGCCAGGACCTTCTCGCTGTGCTGCTGGAAGTCTTCGATGCGATTCAGGAGTTCCTGATAAAAATATACAGGAGGTTAAATCCCAATCTTTAAAGTTGGTTTGACATGGAAACAGGTTTTCTTGCTGTCATGAGATGTTCCTAATGTGCTTCTAATGTTAGCGACAAACTCTGCAGTCATGTTCTGTGTAAAATGTATGCAGACGTTACTATAAAAAGGGAATGAGAGGCTTCAGTAGCCGTTCCCTCGCTAACATTCGCCGTGAGCAGCCACAGTTTAAAGTTGCATTTTCTGTCGGTGGGGATTAAAGTTGACAGAGCATACAGAATTTAAAGAAATGCACAGTGGCAGCCCAGATTAAATTTGAATTAATGTTCTTAATGGATGCATTTCTCCTACCTTCAGCATGGGAGCTTGAGGGAGACTGCAGGAGAGATTATACAGCTGCCTCACAAAGGAACTCAGCTCCTCCACACTCAGCTGGCTGCATGACTTCCCACTTCCAAACCGATACCTGGGAAAGAGCAATCAGTTAAAGGTATGAGCGCCGTTAAAGGAACTAACTCTACTTTCCGACACGAGGAAACATAAAGAGTGCTACCTGGTCTGCCTCTTGCCATTCAACAGCTGCTGTGCCACGGAGGAGCACTTCTCTCCGTCTTGTGTGACCATGCGCAGCCGACGCAGCAGGTCGTTGTCGGGGAACAGCTTGGACTCCGACTCGGCAAGAAGCGAGCGAAAGACTGGCAGACCTGAGGACAGAACACCTGGTTGATCCGTTTGACACATACGGCTAAGTTTGGAGAACATGGAACACACATCGCTAACTATTCCTTTCCATCATCTTTAGCCCGCTGATTGCATTTTGTAACGTTTGCCTCAAAACAAAATAGCGAATGGAGTATTTATTTGGCGTCAACGTACCAAATCCCCGGTATGCTTCTTTTATGCTTTGTTTTCTCATTTGCGCTTGCTGCCTACCTTTCTTCTTCTCTAGTTTAGCCTCAAGAGTCTCCTTCACGAGGGAAGCCCATTCATCATACAGTTCGGCTCGCTGCTTCACCGCTGTCATCATGGGGAACAGCTCGTCCAGTGTGTACCTGAGACTGCAGGAGAAAACTCTTCATTAGAGAGGGTAGAGGGTAGAGGTAATTACAGGTCTAGGAGCATCTACATCTACACCGCCAGCAGGTGCGCTCTGATGTCCGCATATAAAGCCCGTCGATCAGCTGAACGGGGACTTACTTGAGTGTGTAATCGCCGATGGGGCAGGAGCAGAGGTCGTTGACGTGGTGCAGACAGACCAGTACACCTGGGCTGCAGGGACAGGTGACAGCAGACAGGTAGCAGGTGGTCCTGCACCTGGCGCACTGCCGCTCGTCGTCCTGGAGGTGGTCGTACTTTGCCTCTGTGGTGTGCACCATCCCCTGCGGGACAACAGCAAAAGATGTTAAAAGTGACTAGCGTGTTGTTTTTGAGTGAATATATCTGCGTGCACGTATGTGATATTAAGCAGGGCACGTGCGCTCATGAAGGAACAATTTAGTCAGTGGAACAGCGTATTGGTTATTTTAAAAAAAGGCAATTTCTTACCATTTTCTTCACATTCTCTCTTTGCGTCTCCTCTTCCTGGAGCATGACGACCATGTCTTTGTGGACAGCTGATGCCAGGACGACATCGAGCGTGCTCGCCTTGGCGGCCATGTTGCACACCATCTCATCATGGGAGAACACATTGTACCGGCCCAGCATACGATAGTGGTCCACACACTGCCTGCCAAGAGGCATCTGGTGACATACAGGGGAACAGGATGAGTTGAAGGGAGAGTTCATACATGTTGGGTCAAATCCACAACAAAATACACCACATGAGTTCCATTAGGCCCGCAGCTGAGGGAGCTACAGGGAGGTGCGGCATGCAGGACTACACATGCACACACACACACCAAGCCTGTTGTGTTACACATTATGTAATTTCCCTGCCTCCCAGTTTAGTTATTGTTTTTGGTGCAATACATTGTGTAATCATTCTGAAAATAACTGAGTTTGCCATCTTTTTAAAAGAGCTGCCATTTTACACACAAGTATGTTCAGGGATCAGACGTACCCAGTCCACAGTGCAGAAGTTGACCGCCTCAGCGAAGTTGAAGCCCTGATTGAAGCCGCTGTGGTAGGCTCTGGGAAACGTGATGACAAACTCTCCTGCACACTGGTTTGTTCTGTAAATCTGAAGGACAACAGCCACAAAACATCAGGATTCCTATTAGAGAGACACGCTGCTTGTTCCTAAAAGAAGTGGGACTGGCTTTACTGCGGGTAAACATATAGGTCAGTGGCGATGGAGGAGGGACATAAGTACGTACTGGGACTCCGTGGGCCATCAGAGTGTTGGGGTTCATGATGGTGACCAGCTGGTGCAATAGGTCGGGCTGAGACTCGAACAGCTCTGGAGCCAATTTCCTCATCACCTCCTCCAGCTGTTCTGCAGCAAAGCCAGGAGCTCCGTACCACGTTTTGGGTTCCCCCCTGGTGGTAAAACCGGAGAACAACAAAAGATAACGCTTAGAATAAAACAGAAATAAATCACCACCATCAAGAACCTATTTGCTCTCCTCAAGGGAATCCTGCGTACCAGTGCAGGTAGTTGATGGAGTAGCTCCAGTGATCCTCGATGTGCCAGCAGAAGGAGGAGAAGCACATGCCAACATAAAGCCATGGCAGCGTCATCCCACAGATGTCAGCTGTCACATGAGTCAGAACGGAAGGGTTCATCATCGCCAGATTGTTGAGGTTCCAGCCACACTTCAGGTATTTCTGAAAGACAGACAACATTCAGAGTTCAATAATACAGCAATATACTGTTCACAACACTTCATTTATTATTAGACTGATACTTTCCCCGACGGTCAGGTTAAAGTGCAGGTCAGGTCTTTAAGTCTACCACATAGACTGCAATTAAATGCCTATCTCTTGACCATACTGTCGAGATGGTACGGCACACAATTATTTATTAGCAGCAGTATACAACAACAATCTCCTAATTTTAGAATCTGTTGTGACCTGGACCCTGATAAGCATAAAAAGGAAAGATGGATGGATTTACCAATTATTGTAAATTCATTTAAGTTGCAGCTTAATCTTTGGGGTGCTTGCTTCACAGGTTTACCTCATCAGCTGGGGAGACTTTGAATTTTCCGTTGGGAATGGGGAACCCGCTGCCAAAGTCCTTTGAGGCAATATCTGCTCCGTACTCTACAGTAACATCCTCCTCGATGGCTCCCACCAACCGCCAGAACTCTTTCTCCACCAGCTCTGTGGGTACCATCTGTGATGAATACATGAAGCAACATTAAGAAAAATACTCGCAGCGGGAGAGGCGGACCGATTTGCTCTGAAACTGCTTATGCTTACATGAACTGGCATGTTGAAGTAATCGGATTTGAACGCATCAGCCATTTGTCCAAATGCACGCAGGGAGTAGTCTCTGTATGCCTGTTCAAAGCCGAATGCCTCGTGAGGTTTGTTGCATTCCTTTAGCGGACAGAAAAAGAGACACAACAAATACGTTCAATGTCTTTTGTGGATATTCTTATAGTCATTTTAAAAAAATGATCCATGGCATGTTTGTTTAAAGTTGATTTGAGTGACTTGAATCAGACTTTATCCTCACCTGAGCGAGACATTTGGGGCACCTCCAGTCTCCTTTGGGGATGTCAGGTAGAGGAGGGATCAGGCAGAAGGTGTGGTAGCTGTCGTCACAGCCGTCACACAGCAACAGGCGCTCTTCATCTCCCCCGCTGCCGCACACCAGACACACCACCAGATCCACCTGGAAAACCAAAGGAGTTGTTAATGGATCTGTTTCCGAGCTTGATTATAAGCCGCCATTAGCACATAGGGTTAGCTAATAGGGTTTCTTTCATTTAGATTATATATAGCAAAGGTACACGGTGTGTGTACCTAAAGCCTAGCCTAAAGTGATTCAGGCTGGGCTTTGACTTCTGATCACGTATTACACGTTGAATATAGAGACATTTATACTTACTGGACTTGAAAAAACAGGAGGGATGAATTTCTTGTAACGCGACTTGGTTTTGTCGGCTTCAAGTATTGGTTCTTTACTTTCAACTGGTTCTTGTTTCACTGGAATCGGGATCTCTTTTTCTGCAAGACAACAGGAGACGTTAGCAACACCAACTAACCGTTCACCGTGTGTGTGGTACAAGGACATTTGTGAGTCTTTATTCATGTACCACGGAGGTGTGCACCACTTCGATGCAGTGACCTCTGGCAGTGCAGTGCATCAACAGGAGTTTTGGGCTCATTCCAGCTCAGCATTAACCTATACTGCGTTTTGCTGTCTGTTAGTGACGCACTTATTTCTCTCCTTGGTGTCTCTCACATGCACACGAGCACGTACACACGCACACACGCTCAGGCAGGCCTACTGCCGTCCCTCTACGCATGCTGAAATTCATCAACGTCGTTGTAACCGTGTCGGTGGACGCAGTGACTCAAACTGAGTAAGAGTGGAGGAGATATGAGTAAGGCAAAGTCTGCTCGACAGAAGGCTAATTGGTGCAGTGTGGTAGCTATAGAAATGTCTCTTAAATCTGCTATGTGAAAACCTTCATTAGGTGGATAAACTCTCCTGTTGAGATGACAAAGCTTTTCATGCATCTAGAGGGTTGTGGACAGATTTTTAAACCCCTTTCCGCTTGTATTCAGTGATGAAAAAGTTTCAATGTATAACAATATTTAAAATTGAAGATGCGATTCATCAATAATTGTTGTGCATATAATGGAACTGTGAGGCCAGACAAGGTTCAAACCTCGAATAAACAGATATATTAGAACTAGAAGTAATCCAATTAGTTCATTGGATTACTTGATGATCTTATATAGTTTGGAAAAACACAGTCTGATGCTATTTACAGATTTCTATGACCATTATAATGTCTTTAAAATAATAGTGATAGTTTTGTAAATCCACTATCTATCTTTAAATTGCTTTGGATATTAAACAATTATTCCTTTATCTATATATTTACATAATCCTTTTTTTCTTCTTCACACATTTTTTGTGAGAATTGAGTCAAATCAATTCAATCAAATATTTATGGTATTTGTCATCAGTTATAACTTCTACAAAGACGTATTTTATATGTTATGGTGTTTTACTATATTATCGAGCATTATCGGTTTGTAAACCTGCTGACAGTCATGATCTCTGACAGGAACTCAAAGACCTTAAAAAATACACAACGAAAGCTTAAAACTTCCCTTTAATGGGCTACAAACCTTTTGTCAGATGTTTAAATACTGTGTATGGATGGCTCATGGATATCTACTGATAGATTAATAGTGTAAACTTCATTGGGGGAACTATTTTCCCCCCCTGGAATGTGGAGCCTGACCTGGTTCTTGCTTGGCGACAAAGGAACCCATCCTCCGCCTCAGGTTGGGCTTGTTGTCTCCGGACTCGCCGGGTTCGGTCTTCACACAGACGGCCTGCAGAGAGACGGAGAAGTTAAACTGCGGGACAATTTAAAACGACTAAAACCGTGATGTGGAGATATGCGGTGAACAGCGACGAGCGGCGTGTGTGCTGCTTGTTTCGGGATCTTTTCAGTCAGGTGTGTTTGTCGGCTCTCTTTAACAACACCCACCTCGCACTTCATGCGCTTCGCTCTGCGAGCAGTGGGGCCCGAGTCGGGCTGCGGGGCAGTCGTCCTCTGAGCCGGCTCCTGCAGCATGGCGTCCTTGGTGTCCTTGGTGTCCATGCTATCTGTGCTCTCCACCGGCTGGATTGGCCTCGGAACACACTGAAGGGAACAGCGTGCCAGTTAAAACCACAGCTCATATATTTTTTAAAAGGCATGCGTGTCCAACTGGAATTACCTGCAGGGTTAAATGGAGCAGTCAGCGAGAAATTTCCAACGCCGTTAAATTTGGCTACCAAACTACAGACACAGTAGATTTGGTTGTCTAAAACAGGAAGTGTATGTGTACCACAGTTGAATAAAGATGTGCTTATATGATTGTTGCTTTTGATTACCAAATGTAATAAAATAGAAGGAAGGAAGGAATCAACAGCAGTGCCCCAAACAGGGGGCACACACACCAAAGAGGCCAAACCACAAAAACAAAAACATAGATCTGAGCTGAGGCCGTGTGAGCAGGTAAAGAACAGCCTGTCGGCTCGGTGGTTTAATTATAGTACACTTGAGAAAGATAGAAAACAAGAATATTTGAACTGAGAAATATTAAGCACCAAATTTACTGTTGCCTGTGACACAAAATAATTGATTTATAAATGTGTCCCAAGACGTAGGTTAATCATAGATGAACTAAATAGAAGCGAAGGTATTTGCTTGAGATCATTCTTTTGCTGTAAAACCAGTTAATGACTGTTTTAAGGGTTAATATTACCATGCCTGGAAATATTACAACACCGAGCTGCAGGTACAGTACAGTGTGCAGCCAAGTCATACATGCACAGTTCTTAATGTTAGTGGCTTTTAACCATAACACAAACATACCTTTTCAAGTTCAGGATCAGGATCAGCCTCCAAACACATCTGTTTGGAAGCTGGCTCTGGTGCCTGAGGTTAGGGAGAGCTTTGGTGATTACAAAATTTAGAGTGACCTCTCGAGGAGGTCACACAGTACCAAACTTTCATACGCTCTCTTGCAATGTGGTATGGAATATCTGGGTGCAAAAGGTTTTATTTGACATAACTAGACACCCGATTGTAATTTCACACTTTAAAGCATATTAGTCAGACAACACAATAAACTTCTACAAATAAAACATTTCTAAAAAACATTGACATAATATGCATATCCTAATATGCATCTGTTTATATTCATCTTAATATAGCCTATAGTCGTTCAAATCTCTGATAGAAATAGTTTAATTTTATACATTTTATAGCTAAAGAAATGTTATTTAACTTTGAGTCTAGTGTTAAATAACTCCTTCTTTAGCTTCTCTTTGTGAGGATCAGCAGGAACAAGATGTGCTGTCATAATGAGACACGCGTCAAACTCACCAGCAGGTTTGCTCCACTTTGAAACAGGTTGTAGGGGTAGAGAACTTTCTCATAATGCCCTCGCAGGTGCGAGCCGACCGCTTTGCCCGGGGCAAAACCCATTTGTAGTGCGATCTTGGTCCAAAGCCTTTCCTGGCAGACAACGTCAAATCCACCCTCGTCGGCTACCAGCTGAAATGATAGTGAGGTATGTGAGTGCAAGTCGTTTTAATTGGAATCGATATTTAAAAACAATGCTGTGCGATGTTAAGTATTAACCTTATTGAGTTTATATAAATCCAAAATCTTTCTCTCCACATGAGGAATCTTCAGGGCACATCCCTGCAAGTCCCAGAATTTGGCAATCTGGTCCAAGAAATTGAGCTTGACTCTGGTCTGTGCCTGGATATAAAATAAGGAATTAAAACAAAAAGAAAAGAGTCACAAATAAATTAAGCTCAGGGAAATCATCCGAGACACACGAGGTAAAGGCTTTCAAACCCAGGCAATAATTTGGAAAACATATAATGGGCTAAAAAGAATCAGTAGAAGCTACAAATAGATTCAATAACAGGAAAGAGTGTCTTTCTGTTTAAAATAAATAGAAAAAGTTAATCGTTTAGAGTTTGCATTTAGCTTTGTGTAATTTCCGTTGTAAATCTGCACTGTATCTCTTCTTACATTACATCATTACATCATTAGCAGGGATTAATAACATTAGTGTTCTTTGTTATTATCATTGTCGACACACCGATGCGGTCAGATAATCACTGGTATAAAACTCACCTCCAGCTCATTGAGCCTCTGGATCCGAGGAACAAAGTGAAGTTTGTCCACATCACAAGCAAACGGAGGTTGCCAACCCTAAACAACAACAAAAATACACAGACGGGCACACGAAGGTCATAATAAAACATTGTTATTATATTATGCAATGAGCATTAGTGATATGCTGAATTGATAAATAGCTTGGTTAGTCTATTTGTTTTTGATCTCATGTTTTGCTTTTCAAAGCATGGAACCACATTTGAAAAAAACATGTTTTTTTTACTTAAATAAGGTTAATTAAGCAGATAGAACATGCAGTTTAATAGTCTGCTACACAGTTGAAAAATATTTAACTAATGTATGAATATAGTTTGGCAGAAAAGCAAGGCCTTGCCGAAACGGAAGGAACACAATTATCTTTGTCAGTTCGAAACTCCAGGCAACAATCAACATTTGTGGCAATACAACCTTGTACACGCAATAAAAAAAAAAAAAACTATTGTATAAGCAGAGACCCAAGTTCTTGTTTTTAGTCAGTAGCCAACATCCCCCACTGGCACACAAAATGGCCAGATGGAGACTCACACTCAGCAGCCCAGCTTACCACAAAGCCAACATGGAGGACAACACCCTGCCACACAGGCTCATACATGAACACGGGATGTCTTGCTAGTATAACATGCTATAACACTGGTACACAGGTGTGTGTGTGTGTGTGACCGATTGAACAAACACTTCTAAAGTCCCAACTTGTTCTTTGACAATGAGAGTGGACTTCACGTTTAAACTACCCGGTGTGCCTCTTGTTCCCACCATGGGGTCACTTGATTAACTTTTTATTTAAAAAATAAAAATAAAGCCATTAAACGGGGGACATTCATTTAGCCCGACGCCGTGACATTAACAGCAGTTCTAACCAGCCAATAGATGGATTGAGAAGTGATGGATGGAAATGACCCGACTGCATCGTGATGATCTTCAACAAATATAATCCATAATTAACCCCACCAGCGTGGATGGGGGGACGTTGAAAAGGACAAGGGGGTGATAACAAGAGCGAACATCCATGCGTGGTTTGATAATCATCACCTGGGCAGAAAGGGAGGAATGGCTTCCGCATAACACTGCGTCCGAGCCGCGAGCTACATTATGACAGGTTGGTTGTGGAGCTCTTGGCTAGCGTTAGCCTAGCTAGCTAGCTAGCTAGCTAGCTAGCTAGCTACGTGGCTCAGCGGACGGAGCACCGGGGGCTTTGTTGACACACGGTGGACCGGGACCAAAACAAGCTTTTAATACACCGCCACATCCTTGCGGATGCGAACGAGCCATCGATCGACACCCTTAAAGCCCCGCATCCCCCTCAAAAAAAGGGGCGCAGCAGCGGCGTTTGGGATCACAAATGAGAGCAAGCTAGCCGCGAGCAGCACAAAGACGGAGCACAGCCGTTACGTTAACGTTACATCCGCCATGTTGAACAGTCCCTTTAAACCCCGAAAGCTCGGTCCATCTGCCGACGTTTGAACGGTTAAATAACTACAGTGCCCGAGTAACGTTTGTCCCTTTTCAAAAATAATAAATAAATCCCACTCACCGGAGGCGGGCGGACTTTGCAGATGCCCGTTTTCTCGGCGATGGGACGGATCTTATTGATGAAGGCAAACGGATCTCTGAATTCTTCCCAGCTCGGCTCGAAGACCGGGCACTCCGGAGGAGGCTTGAACTCGTCCGTCCGAGGCTGGCTCATCGTCGCGGACCGACCCGGGGGGGGGAGCTCCTGCTGGACCGGTCACTCACTGGAAGTATCGCCGTGGTGCGGTCCGCCTGGGGTGGGCTGCTTTTTCCTTTTTTAAAATCCCGTTTTGTTCACGGTCGGTCTCGGTTGTAGTCGGTCGTCAACAGCACGAGATGAGGCGGCTTACACACACACACACACACACACACACAGAGCCAGCACGCACACACACGCGCACGCTCGCATGCACAGCGAGGAGAACGTTCCAAGGCACTGAGCACGTCCGCTGAAAAAACTAGACACCACACATTTGTAATTGATGTAGGAGAGCTTTATCATGTCTGATGTACTTCTCCATTTCTGCCAGTGTTGCTGTGCAATAAATGTTTTTTTCACAGCCTATTATATATATATTGTTACATTGTAATTAAGCATCTCATCATAGCCTTGAACTTAAGCAAGCACACAGTCCAGACTTGCGTTCAACATAATTTAGCAGATGAAAGATTGAGCTTCCCTTGTGCCTGAATGAGCAGAGGGTACTATACTGCCAACATCTGACACTGATATTTAATTTAATAAAATTAAAGAATTAATAATAAATAATTACACCTAATGCTTTATTAGAACGCCTGATTGGGTATATCCCAATACTTAACCAAATTAGTGGAGGAAGAAGTACTGTTTTGATGTTTTACTGAAGTAAAAGTAGCAATATTACTCAATATATATTGGCCTCAAGATTCTATACTTAAAAAAAACAAAAGTGAAAGTAATTTTTCAAAATGTCTCCTTTTATAGTAATAGATGTTATGTAATCGGATCATACGGTTGGTTACATTTATGTATAAATATAATTTGAATATAGCTGGTAAAGGTGGAGCTAATTATAACAGATTATAATTACAATTGTGGCTGAACTCATAATTGTGCCCTAGTTCATGATTAGTTTGTTAATTTGATGTTGAATTGACTGAAAATTACAGCTGTTTGATAAATGTTGGGCATCATATTTAATAAATGGTCATTTTATCTGAAATGTTTAACTGAAAAGTAACTAGTAAGTAATATAAATGTAGGAAAGTAAAGTACAATATTTCCATAGGCATGTAGTGAGTGTACAGCTTAAACAGAAATACCAATAGTGCTAGTACAAGTCATTGAATAAAACTTCATTAAGACTATTCACAACAAAGGCAAAACGATTTTAGACATTGAAATGTGCCACCGCGAACAGGAACCAAACATGTGTCCATCTCATGGGCGATGTCAGCCGAGTGGAGATTACATTCTAAATTATAGATTCTTGATATTCAGTACAATGCATGTAACGATGAATACATTGCAAATAGTTTATCGCGATGCACTGTTGAGAGATATTACATTATAACATGTGAAAAACAAGTCTCTTTTTTGTGCAACGTCTACTGTTTACATTTTCACGCGGATGAATATGTTCAGGTGACACCTTCGCTGCTGCCGGGACTCGTTGCGTAAATAGGCCGCCCTGTGATTGGATGCTTCTCGTAGTCCTATAACGTCTGCTGCTGCACATTCACACGCACTTTGTCGGATGATTTCATGCGATTTGAGAAAAATGACGATTTGATATAGTTCAGCGTCAGAAAACCACTTATGGGAGACTTGGAATCGTCTAAGTTAATTTGTATACGTAGTGTATAATGCATCAAATTCCCTGCCTAAGCAAAAGTAGCAATCCAACACATGCTAAATTAGATTACTCCTTTCCAAATTTGAATGAAGAAAATTCCTTTTTAGCAACACAGTGTACTTAAAGTATTACACTAAAAGTACTCATTATGCAGAAAGGCATCTGTCAGTGTTTTGGGATTATTGATGAATTAGTAAGCGGTGCTTTAATTTTGTAACTTAGTTGTAACGTAGAGCTCATTTTCAACTGTTTTAAATACCACTTGGCATCATGTATTTTACATTTAAAATTTGAATCTGAAAAGTAACAAGTATCTATTCAATGTATGGGGGTAAAAAGCATAATATTTTCCTTTAAAATATATTGGAGCAGAAGCATAAACTAGCAGAAAAATGGATTACATCAAATTATACAACAACCCTTGTTGTCCTTCACCAATGCTGTATTTAAATCAAGAACCTCAATGGAAATCAGTCTTTTACCTATTTTTATGTTTCTACCGTTCCTTGATCACAATAAAATCCATCCATCCATCCATTGTCAAACTGCTTATCCTGCACACAGGGTCGCGGGGGGGCTGGAGTCCATCCCAGCCAACTTCGGGCGATAGACAGGGTGCATCCTGGATTGGTCGCCAGCCAATGGCAGGGCCACACAGAGACAGACAACCATTCACACTCACATTCACACATCTACGGGCAATTTAAAGTCCCTAATTGACCTGATCCCCGGAGCATGTCTTTGGACTGTGGGAGGAAGCCGGAGAACCCGGAGAGAACCCACGCAGACACGGGGAGAACATGCAGACTCCACACAGAAAGGCCACTGGGCGGAACCCAGGACCTTCTTGCTGTGAGGCAACAGTGCTAACCACCACGCCACCGTGCCGCCCCCACAATAAAATGAACTGAACTAAAATGTAAGATGAAGCATTGTTTTTGCGTTTCTTCACTGAACGACTCAAGTGTCATGGTGTCGACATGATGTCGTCTTTGACCACCGTAGCACACGGCATCCCTCACAGTTTTCATGTCCAACTTTATTTTAAAAACACAATTCAGTACATTGTCTTTTTTAGTCCAAAGCTGACTGATGGTTATTAGGTTATTAATTTGGTGAACGGTATTTTGTAAGACACACAGAACATATGTGAAATTGTTACTTCCACGGTGTTGCTCAGCATGCACACAGCCCTCTGGACCTTGGCCAGATCTCCACCAGGAACTACAGTGCGAGGCTGGTAGTTGATGCCTGTTGAGTAGAAGAGAATGATTAGAAAGATGGAGAATCTCAAACCACACTTCTTACCTTCACAAGGTTACTCACCCTAAAGCCAGTCGGGCACCAATCGCTACTTCATGAGGAAAATAAAAATAAACCCGGGGACAACCCACCAACCACGGTGGGCTCCAGGTCCACGTAGACCGCCCTGGGAACGTGGAGCCCGGAGCTCCCGGTGTTGAAGAAACTGCTGAACGGGTCTAGGCAGAAGAGCTCCCAGCAGGCGTTCCCTGTCTGGCCCACGTGGACACAGATGCACTCTCTCTGCACAGAGAACAGCTGGACGTTCGGTTGGAGAAATTAGAATATTGATATTTTAAATATACGTACCAAAGAAAAGTGCATTGTTGTGTGCAGTTAAAAGTAATTTCAACGGTCATGTCATTGAGATGTTGAATGCGTCTACATTTTGACCTGATGATGGCGCTAGAGGGGAAGATACAGGATAACAAAGGTCATAAGGATGGATCCTCTGGGCATCGTGAATTCATTTAATGCGATCAATGCAATAGTTGTGAAGGCTTTTCTGTAAATGGCACTATTTCCACCGGTCGAGAGGAAACAGAATTGGAACCAAAATGTTCCATGTTTTTAAACTTTTTTTTTTTTAATTAGGTAAAAAAAAAAAAAAATGAAGTGGCTGCAATTCGACTTTTCGATTTTACATTTATTACGAGTAAACCAAGTAACAAACAGAAGGGGAACACTCAACAGCTTTAAGGCTTTCCAGCAGGTCTGTTTGAACATGTTAGTTTTGTTTTCCCTGAAGGGAAACCATCGACCAAGCTTTTCATTTTTTGGCTGTTGAGTGATATTTGAAAGATTAGTTGGGAATACACACTTTAATGACAAGAAAACAAACAACTTCACTTCTGAGGGTCTGAGGATGAAGATTAAGAAGCTTTTGGCAGTGATTATAACTCGTAAAACGTTCTACACCCAAAATTAGAGCAGATGATTAAATAACATTTGAGACTTCAAATTTGTATGTATGTTAACACAAATACCTGAATCAGTCCACGCTGCCAGAGCTCAAGGGAGGTTTTGGATAAAACACGTACGATTTCCCTGCAGATTAAGCAGCTAAATACTAAAGATTTATTTCAGAAGTAAATGCTGCATGCACTGATAATGCAACAGTTCCAACAAAACCAACTAAACCCTTTTTTCGACATTTCTAGTAAACTGTAATTATCTTACCATGTTTGCTGCAGGACACTGAGACCTTCCTCCACACTGATCCGGGACCAGCAGAGTCTCCTCCCATCACCGCCGCTCTTTATAGCTGCACACACACTCACCTGGTGTGTGCGTGTGTGTCTGTGTGACGCGGGTGAGAAAGCTGCTGCTCCTCCTCGAAATGTTGTTTCGGTCACTCTGTTTGGGACGTCTTGTAACTGGCACCATTAGGCGGGACAGTCGGAGAGGAGAATGCATATTGACTTTGTGCTGTAAGGTAGAACACGAGTCCCATTCGGATTTTCATTATGTTTTTTCCATGAAACGTCTCAACAGAACCTTAAAATGATCCAATATACAGGTGGTTAAGAATAGGAATAGTTGTGTTCTTTTAGTAGTTTACTCATTTAAAGGATTCATTTAGTATTCACCCACTTTGTATGTTTGATTTCAGTGATTAATGAATATTGTGGTAGATAAAGTTCTGAAAATGTAATTGTCAAAATTAATCTAATCAATGATTTGTAAATTTACCATTGAGTTAATTGTCTTACTGTCCAATGTTATGCACCAACCGCCATGTCAGATTCCTTGTATGTCTAACATAAATGATTCATATATAGCAGTTATATTTATAGCTGGTGATACGATTTTACAATTTTCAAAATCGCAAAAGTACAGAAGACGGTAACATTTATTCATTGATTATTTGGTCAACGTGTAAACTTACTTTCTATTCTGATAAACTTGTTTATGGTGGAATTCTTTCAGCAGCATTATTAGTTTGGTGATCCTGTTGCCGTCTGCGACAAAGAAGCACAACAAGTGTTGGACAAATTAACGTTGCGAGCGGATGATTGTGCTGCATGAAACGTCAGAGGATGACAAAAGTAATTACTTTATTCTAAAGGAAACATAAATGCTTGTACCACATTTCAAAGCATTTCTTTCAATATCTGAGCCACAATTATTACCTCATGGTGTCAAACAGTCTTCATCAGAAGGCAAACTAGTAATTAAGAGGCATTTAGACACTATTTCGTTGTGTAGTTGGTTGAATGTGGTCTTTTGCGTGTGGATGTGGAGCGCGATGCCGCTGACTCAGCGGACGACATGAGCGCCGCTTGTTCACTGGTCAGGTGATTACATACTGAGAGGACGAAACGCCTCAGTTATCAGTGTTTATTCACTTCCCAGGCGACAATGTTCTGTGGACTTTGTTTGTCCTACATGTACATTTCCAGGTTTAAAAGTGGAGGAAGAAAAGAAAAGGAACAATCACATGCACCTCAAACTTAAAAGTGATTCTTTAGGGACAAAATAATCAACTGGTACAATTCAGTCATTTTCTAAAACAATATTGATCTCTAAATATATATTTTGAGAGCAACGATAAGTATTAAACCTTCTGTATGAAAGCGATATGAATCTAAAAGCACTGTTTACGGAAGAAATTACAAAAATGGTTGAAATTACTGACGACCTCGTCGTGGCCAAATGAGTGCACTCGATAATGAGCCGACGTACTGTAACTCGTCACAGTCAAATGGGAGGCAACACGGATGTTCATTGTTTGATGTAGGCCAAAGTCATAAGGCATATAGCAGCAACCGGAGTCCAAATCAACTCCATCTTTTTTGTTTTTCTTCTTTTTTGTTGTTGTTGTGATGAGTAGAAATATATTGCACTTTGAAGACAAACTGAAAAAATAATCTCACAGGTTTGCGACAGCGACAAGTTCCAGCGGAGAGCCATGCATGCATGCGGCGGTGGGCTCGTCAGAGGTGAACTCTACCGCCGAGCTGCACTGCACAGCCCCCCCCTCTCCTCCCGGCAGGCGAGGCCCAAACAGAGTCCCTATTTGCATACTGGCCAACAAACGTCTCCCCTTGTTTGGCTCCGTCTAAAGTGGCATTTCAGCAAAGTCCAGCTGGCCGTGCTCCCGTCGGCAAAGCTCACTTTTCTCGCAGGACGCAGACGCCGGCGTCGCACCGCTGCGTCGCCATCGACGTGACGACCTCCCAGGAGTCGATGACCGGGTCGTAACATTCGATGCTGCTGAGGAGAGAGTTCCCGTCGTACCTGGAGACGGAGAGACGGGAGTCAAACGGAGGTGAGCTGGGAGTCTTAACGGGATGATCGGCGCTGCTCTGTCGATAACGATGTGCCACAATGCTAAAGATTTATCAGATAACAAGAGTATAAGTGTTAAAATACAGAGACATGAAGGGATAGGTTTACAATCCCATTACCCCTGCTTGGAAATAATAATGTGCTCATTTGGACACCAAAACAGGTTTTAATTGCTGTAATGATTCCCCGTCTGTAACAAAGATCCCGTTCTAAAGAGGTTTTCATTAGTTTATTTTTAAATTGGGACCCTTTTATAGTTTCAACTAGTATTTCAGATGTCAGTCCGAAAAGATGTGTGTGAATTTAGGCAACTCTTACGTCCCTCTAGTTTGGCATTTGTCACAATTCATTCAAAGTCAAACTTTTGCTCTCTTTTCACATCTTCACCATTTCAAATGGAACTTTTAAATGAAACCGTAAACACGGTTCCATGTTCACTGTCTGAACTAACAGTGAAAGCAAAAAATTAGATCCAAGCTACGGATCCGAGTTCAGAATTAAAGTGTGAAGGAACAAGAACCACGTAGTGCAGTTTGAGTGACAGATCAACCAGGCTGAAGGCTCATCAGACGCCAGAAATCCTCACAATGACTCTGCTGTCCCGCTTGCACCTGGGACCAAAGTATAGAACAACAAAGCGTCTTCCTTCTTTCTTTGCTCTCTTATCTCCTTGAAGTAGAACTGCAGATTGGCTGGAGCTGTACCCAAATAGTTGCTTTTGATAGCGTCTGCTAAATAAATACAATGTAATGTGACGAGGGCATTTACGTTACAAAGTAATCCAGCAGGAATGTCCTCTGGCGTGTATTTGATCGGCCAATCAAGTGACTTGCTGGGTCGGAGCACCTGATCATGTCGCGAGTTGAGCCTGTTTTTTCGCTATTATTGATTTGACTAATTGAGGCCACTTTATCTTCGTTTTGGTCAAAATGTGGATACATTTTCCACACGTGAATTTCGTTCCCAATTTTGCCAGGCTATCCGCTTCTTGCGACTTGCAACATGCGAGTGAAAGTCTAAACTGATCCTCTAAACGGTCCCAGAAGGAGGCACGTTGTTTGTTACCCGGCGATGGCGTAGAGGCGTCCCCTGAGGACCGTCGCTCCGACGTAACACCGAGGCGTCGTCATGCTGGCGACGGTGGTCCAGTAGTCGGTTCTGATGTTGTAGACCTCGACCGAGTCCAGGTGCGAAACACCATCAAAGCCTCCCACGACGTAGATGTGGTCGTTGAGTAAAGCCACGCCAGCGCCTGAAAGCAGTCGGAAGCTCTCAGACGGAAAAGCAACGCACGCGGCCGGCCGGCACATTTGAGGGCATTCTGTTTTCTTACCTACCTGACCGCTTGGTGGCCATAGGGGTAACACTCGTCCAGTGACCCGTGTGAGGGTCGTACCGCTCCACTGAATTCAGGATATTCAGCCCATCATATCCACCTGTGAGGAGACGCAGGAACACGAGGACATCTATTGACAGATTGACTTTTTGAGCGAAAATGCCACAATCTGTTAGTTGTGTTGGGAGTTGGTGGATTAATCCCTTGTGAGACATTCAAAGTATCTTCAACTCATTCGTGGTTTAGTATTTATCACTAACTAGAATATAGAAAAATCATCAATTTAATACACATCGGGGAGGTTTGTGTTGTCCAATCAGAAGAACCCCCTGCAGAAAGGAATTTGAACAGGAACCAGACGCTGGGGGAATGTCCCCTTTGACCCCCCGTCGCCCTCTGTGCGACTGTTAGGCGATCGTGTTTGACAGACAGCAAGAAGATGGACTAAGGGATCGATCGGTTAGTCTAGAGGTCAAAGGTTCATGAGAGGGATCACCAAGAAAGAAAGAACTCAGTGTGTATTTTTCTGTTTTGGTTTTCTGCCATATGTGATGTCAATTACATATATTTGGGTTTTGGAGGATTGTATTGACAAAACACGCAAATTAAATGAGTCCTACACCTCAGGAAATTGTGTTGCTGCTTCGAAAGGACCCATGGTCGAATAAAACGCTCAATTTGAAGACGCCACAATAAGCACATCATAGACAAAACTAATCATAGGTTAGAAAATGAGTTCATTGATTGATTACAAAAATAAAATCATAAATGATCGCCTGGTAAGTTTGTCCATACCTAGACAGTATATAAGTCCACTCGCCACCACTAGACCCGCTCCTTCTCTAGCCGTTTGCATATCTCCCAGCATGCTCCACTGGTCAATGTTTGGGTCGTAACGTTCCATGCTGGTGTGACGCCGGCTGCCGTCGAAGCCCCCGGCAACATAGATCATGTCTGCAAAGAGCAGAAAATATCAAGTACCTCCTGAGAGATAACAAATCACTCATTCAAAAAGCTGCAATCGTTGCCGAAGCCGTCGAGTCGTCCCGCTCACCTCCGAGCGTTGTGGCCCCGGCGAGGCCCCGGCGCACGTTCATGGTGGCGACGGTGTACCAAACCCCGTCCTCGTCCGCCGTGTAGTCCAGGCACTCCACCGAGCTGAGCCTTGACCGGCCGTCGTAGCCTCCGATCACGTACACCCGGTCGTGGAGCGACACCGTGGCGACGTAGCGCCGCTTCCGTGCGATGTTCTGTTGGAGAGGCGGTCCGCGTTAGCCGGACCCACTCGGGATAGAAAACGCCAGGACGTCTGAGGGGCTCCAGTACTCACGGGAAGGGAGCTCCATTCTTGTGTTTTCGGATCATATTTCTCAACAATGTCGATTGGCGATTGCTGGCTGCCAAACCCGCCGATGACCAACAGCACTTCTTTGGCACCTGGAAAAAAACACAAAACAACCGTTTCTAGTTACAGCGGTTGTACGGGAGGAAAGCTCACAGCAGAAGCGCTACTAGAGAAATGATTCCCACCTAATCTAGTTTGTGTGCGTGGGCCCTGCATCTCACTCCTCAGCTCCGGTCTCAAGTGGAATTTCTTGGCTTCGTCGACGAGGTCTCGACATGGCAGGCTACACCGAATGAGGGGCTACAACAAGTCAGAACTTGCATAATTATGGTGGTTACCGTGATAAGACATTTCATCAGATAATCCAAGCTCGTCGGGTGATTGCGCACAACAACAAGCCGCTGTCTTGTCGCCCGGCTCACCTCAGCATCAATGACATCTGTGATGTAGCGGGGGGTCAGCAGCGGCATCCGGACAAACTCCAGCATGTCCGGCAGGTACGGCTCGCGCTCTTTTCGGTTGTGCTTGACCCAGTTCAGCACGGCCTCAAACACCGGCTCCTCCGAGTCCACCTGCGTGCAGACAGCACCGGTCAGAGGAGGTGCGGCCACGTTGAGGCGCGGAAATACACACTGAAGCAACTGCAGTTATTTGTGCCCAACGTGGAACAATGCAGGCTGCGGAAACGGGCCGTGAATTCCTCACACGAGGAGGACAACACCTAGTTTCTACTGGGGCCAAATTATGCGTGACAGTGGCTCACGTGTATGGTTACGTTTTATTCTTAAAACAACAAAAGTGACAGGAGAAACCATTCGAGAGATGCGATGATCTATAAATCATTTGATTATAATAACCATGTTTTCATAAAGCAAGGTGTGTGGTTTGCTGAGCAGAAGGGAAAACTTAAATACGGTTTTCTTCACTGCAATTTCTTTGTCAGCTCAATCCGCAAACCGAATGGAATTAGGTGGGGGGGGGGGGGGGTCAGAATACTGCAGGTTGGTGCTTGCTTTCTTCTTTACGCACTCAGTTGTTTGAAAAACAACGTGAAAGCTGTGAAAGTCAGTTAACCCGCTTTTCAGGCACATAGAACACTGATTCTAACATTATAGCTGCTGCATTTGTCTTGATCGTCACTCATTGACAGCAGATCGGAAGCATCTTGTAAACAACCACACGGACTCAAACCTCATGACACCCGGCTTGCATACCTGGATTTCATCACATTTTATGAGCTTTTCAACTTCTGCCTGGCTTAGCAGCATGAACTCCTCATGCTGAACCACCTCAGAGAAATGCTTCTGGGAGAAGAGCTCGGCCGCCTGCATCAGGTCGAGGCAGTTGTGAGTTTCGGCAAAGTCGCGGATACCGAGGCAGTTAGATGGATCCAGCTGACCCTCCAAGAAGTCACAACACGCTCTTTTCACCCCTGAAGAAAAGAAAGACGCATTCTATACACTTAACACTTTACGCATGGTTCAAATTCAACCAGATGTGGATTGACTCAATTTGGAAATGCCGAAGCAATTTTATTGGAAAGATTTAGATTAATTTAGATGTGTCATGTCAGACTATTTCAAGACCTTTTTGAATAACACGTATTATGATAATTACTACTACTCACCAAAGTTTGGGAATAATTGATGATGTCACCTTTTTCATACTTTTACAATAAACAGAAGGCTGAACCAAATGAAAGTGTCCTTTTTATTTTATTGGATTTATTTTTACAATGAAATCCCTGGTTTGTGGCGACTGAAACTCCACTAAAAAGGATTAAACAACATCCCACAAAAACACATTTTACTGTCGCAGCAATCACGTTTTAATTGTAGCGTCTTCCCACAGCACGCAAACATTTTATAACTTACAATACTACACAGCAGGCAAGATGCCATATTTAGGACGTTAGAAAAAATAAAAAATTATTTGAACCTTTTTAACACCTTCCGAGACCTTTTGTTTGCTGTAACTAAATGAAATGCCTGATAAGAGGTGCACATACGCTTTGCCTAGACTCACAACGATATCAGCAGACTTAAGCACACACACTTGTCAAATAAAGGTATGGCCACACTTCTTCACCTACCTTTGAGCTGCAGTAGGCACGCTGCAGGGAGCAGTTCCTGTACGTTCTCCACTGTGACCAGCACGGTCTCTGTGTACACAAAGTCCAGCAAGATCTCCATAGTCGCTGCAGTGAGACCCTGAATGTCGACAAAAGATTTCCCCTTCTCTGCCAGCTGCAGAGCCAAAAACACAGAGTTAGAAGAATCTCATTTAGGGATAAGTCACGTGCATTGGGTGTTATCGAGAATTGTCTCACTAACTTTATTGTTTTAGTAAAAACAAGCATTGTCTTCATATGTGTTTACGGACTATATTTTTCATCCTGATTGTCTATTCTGTCCTTTTACTTGTTGGTTTCCACGACACCTGTTGCATATCTGTCCTGTGTGAAGGATTTCTTCATTCTCCTAGGTATTTTGGTTAGTTATTATTTTTTCCTTTTTCTGAATCAGCGTTCTAGGAACAGGAGGATGCTGTAAATATTTGTGATAATGCAGAAATAAAATTCACTTGACTTAGACACTGTCGGAGAAGCTAAACAACAAGTGATTCATCTGCAGATCTTATGTTTATCTTATATTTTCCTCTTTTTTTTTTCCACGCCCGGGAATAGATATCGTTCTCTTCTTATTTATACATTATGTTATCTACTAAGCATTGACGCGGTTTTACTCTTACCTCGCTGGTGAACATGGCACAGAAGTAGTCGCTGCAGGCGGCCAGAACAATCCGGTGAGCGGGAAAATCTGCGTTCTCCACCCTCAGAGTGATATCACAGAGTGTGTTGCTCTTGCGAAGGGAGTTCATGGCGTTGAGGATGGATTTGGCATGAGAGTTGGTCATGATGTCTTTGGGCGCCATGTTGCCTGGAGAATCTCTCAAGGATCTCAAACTACTCCAGGAATCTAAAACCGAGAGAGAACGAGCGTCACAACACAACATGCAGCACTTACGTCTCTGTCATCCTTTGGTCAGTGTTTGAGTGTGTAATATATATATATATATATATATATATATATATATATATATATATGTAACTGTGTGACGGATTCAAGCTTGTGTTGCATGCTCATAGAAACAATGGACATTTTAGATGTGACGTTAGAAAGTTAGAAAGGCCGGGAAACAAACATGCAAAGTATATTCAGGGGCTGAATATAATTTGCCGTTTGAGGTGTCTAAATTGAATATTTCCAATGTTTGAGATTTCCAATCCATGTTAAAGGACAACATTACACTTCATAGCTATTTTATGTAGTCAGCTCGTTAAGATTTTCTTGATTCAATTCTCAAATTGAATTGAATCATTTATGATTCTAATAACTGAGTGTTACTTTCTTAACATGTTTGAATGCAGGAGATCGTGGGAGTGCTAATGCAACTTACCGTTAAAAGACTGGGCTACACGTTAGCCAGCAGCAGCCAGCCGGAGGCTAACGCCGACGCTACACAACAACAGGGAACACGCGGGCGGACAAAGTGAGCCGACGGCCCGAGGAGGACCACACACACCGAGCGACACACACACACAACAACTTGTCAGGAACGCGCGCAGTACCTGTCGCAGCAGGGAAGCCGACTCAAAACGTGTAGCTATGTAGCGTTGCTAGCTAACGTTAGTAGCACCAAAGTCCCTTGTCCCAGTTCCTGCTGTCAGTCCCACTTGGCTGGAGAAACGCCTCTGAACTACAGCTAATCCATGATGACCCCTGGTAGGTCACGCTATACGACCCTGCTTAAAGACAGCTACGTCCAAAACGCCCCAAAGGATAATTTCATATCGTCCCTGGCACGAGTTTTAACGAGCTATGAAAATTTGGTGGACTGAACTGCAGCAGGTCACAGCAGCAGAGAGACTCCACAGATTGGACGTAAACAGACCATTACGTGCGTGTGTGTACGCGCGCGCTCCCGGAAGAGGACGCGTCACGTTCGCTACACAAGACGACTTCCGCTAGTCACCGCCGGTCTGCCAGAAATGCTCTTTCTGACATATAAAGTTGTCGACGAAATAAAAATCTCCATCCACACACGCGGAAAACCGCCGTGTGGGTTACAACATTTTAAACTCGCACACACATCCACGCGCTAACGCGAACGCGCAAACAGACGTGCCTTTCTTCCTGTCTTTTTTTTCTTCTTCCAGCCAGCGCGGTGACGCGCAGTGGGAGGAGCCAGCGGCGTGTTTCCGCTCGCAGCAGGCCGACAGAGGGAACACGGTAATTCATGCAGCCGCACCGAGAATCACAGGACATCCACGGAACAATCGGCAGCGACAGCAGGACAGTGTTTAGAGTACCGATTGTTTAATCCCCGAGGGGGGTGGAGGGGCGCTTCGGTTGTACATGTTTGAGGAAATAGTAGTAGAAGAAGAAGAAGAATAAGAAGAAGGAGTGGCAGCTGGACTGTCAGCAATGGAAGCCGAGTTTCGGGAAATCGATGAAAACGGGAGTTGGAACCCCATCTCCCAGGTAGGACCCCCCCCCCCCGCCCCCCGGCACAGCCCCGGTGGACGCGGCCCGCTTTCAGGGCAAACGGTGTCCGAAGCACACGAGGCTTGCGGCGTCTATCGTTTGTTGTAAGCCTGTTAGTTCAGTCCATGTTGTGCCTGCTCGGATCAATCCGATGATTGATGTGTATATGCCTGAGCCCCCCCCCCCTCCTCCCTCCCCCATCGACCCCCCCGCCCCCCCTCCAAAACAAACAAACAGTTACATTGTTGTCAAATGAATACATTTGTACATCGAGGAGTCCGTGTTGGGGAAGTACTCCGATCTTTTACTCGAGTAAGAACACCAACTCCACACAGTTAAAACATGTTGTGTTTAAAGTTACACGTTGTCGGCTCATGTGTTAATAAAGTCCTCATCGTGGAGAATGACTCACGTCAGGACGACCTGTAACCGGATTATGATTATTTGATGCTGGTGGAAGCATCACCGGTACATGTGGAGCTAATTTCAACTACTTATAAACTTCCCCTGTAATAAGCAATTGACCCATAATAATGCGTCACGATACAGGAGTTGGCTCATATTCTGCATTATTAACCTCAATGTGCAGTGTACCCGATGTAAACAGAACTAATTTGCTTTAAATATAAGCATGCTATTCAGAACGAGTACTTGTACACAAACAAAGTAAAAGTGCTGCATCTGTACCTTGGATTCTTTCTTTATGGTTACGCCACAGTTTCTTGTTTAAAATCTCCTCCGGGTGTGGATCCGGTGTTGTTATTATATTTTCAGTTTCTTCAGCCGAGTGGGTGCACTCACAGGTTGAACAGGCAGCCTGCACCGCCACCCACACACCAGCACACCACTTTTCAGGAGTTTTTTTTCTTCTTCTCTTGTTTTGTTTTCAAAATTCATAGAATTGTTTTCAATAAAGGAAGGAACAACACCCCACTTAAGCGCTATTGCCTTATTGAACGACCACGGAGACGCGGCCTATGTGACGTCAGACCTTTTTTTTCTTCTTCTTCGTTTGTGTTAACGTCGTTCTATTTTCTTTTTATTCTGCCGCAGGAGATTCGCCAGCAGTCGTGTGAACTCCCCTGCAAAGTCGCCAAGTTGCCTGAAAACAAGAATCGCAACCGCTACAGAGATGTGAGCCCATGTGAGTACGGAACTGCTTCCGCTGTTTAAAATAGTTCTCTCTAATCTGCTGTGTCACGTTCAAACACCGGCCAGTTGTGACTTACTGTTGGACGCATCAAGCGGGTCTTGCACAGTTGAGTGTTATACAAACAGCTCAGTGATGTTTGACCTCAGTCATTTGAAATAACACAATGTCAGTATTACACAATGGCCCCGAGGGTTGCACCACTGCGGATTGACGTCACAAAGGATGTGACTTCCAGTTCATAACTTTTGACCTCTTGTCCGTGGATTTGTGACGGTTGTTAATTGTACGTGTAGGTGTGGCTACATGACAATAACAACATGATAATTGTCTTCTATAGGCTGGCTTTTATATAACCTTCGTGACAGCTAACGGCATCAGTGTGTGTTATGTCGGTTAGTGCAACAGAAAACCTGCTCCCAAATTCCCGGCACAAATGATAAAACAACCGGAGACAAAGGACAATAATCGCACCAATTTGTTCCGATGATCTTAAACCAACAACGCGGTCGGACAAGTAAACACTATACAACGAGTTGAAGTCGATAATCTGTAAGATCCATCGGTACGTATCTCAGTAGATTTTAATCACAATTCAAGCAAGCATCTTTTCTGCTGTCTAATCACACACTTTGTAAACGTGAGAAACACAACATGTGTGTGTTGTTATATACAACTGCCATTAACTACAAGTGTGTCTTTTCATGTAAGACTATCTGTAGCGTCGTACCCGTCTTCTACTACAACTTCCCGATTCGACAGCTGAACTTTGCAGTTTCCTCTTTTTCACACTGAATAATCTATGCAAATATTTACTGTATTTGTGCCGTCAAGCGTGTCCAAATCTGTGGCCCGAAACGTGTTCACGCTGGTATCTTTTTTTTTTTTTACGCCTAAATGCCCTTTTCGTGCGATAAATGAGATAAAGAAAAGTTCGACGTCATCCACCTCGTTATCAAGCCGAGGTGCCTCGTTGGAAGGCGGCCACCTTGAGCTCAGCTGAGCGTTGTGTCACGTTAAAAACATCCAACGTTTCTTCTTTTCGTCCCCCCCCCCCCCCGAAGTTGACCACAGCAGAATATGCCTCCGGGTGGGAACAAATGACTACATCAATTCCGGCCTCATAACGGTGGAGGAGGCCCAGAGTAAATACATCCTCTATCATGTGAGCTGTAGTTCGAACTCCTTCTACGATGCATTCTGGGCTTAGACGTTCATTGAAACACCCGGTCGGGTGAAACGCGGTTTCAGTCGACATGTTTTTGCATCCTTCAAGAAGGTTCGATTTCACAGATGGTTTACAACAGCGGGTCTTTATTAAGTTATTTGACTAATCGAATCCTCCTGTGGGAACGCGCAAGTGAAAGCAGCATGAAAGAAGAAATTGGTGTAATAAATAGTAATTTATTAAAACAATCTTAAAAGGTGGAATAAACTTAATAAAACATTTTAAGTTGAGAACTTTAAATAGATAGTTTTCAATTTGTTTATCAGAATTTTTTTTTTGCAGGGACCCCTTCCAAATACATGTGGGAACTTCTGGGAGATGGTGTGGCAGCAGAGGACCCGCGGTGTCGTGATGCTGAACCGTGTCATAGAGAAAGGATCTGTAAGCAGGGGCCCCTTTCCTGACTTTGCCCCCCCCCTCCGTTATTTGCCCCGTGGCCTCGTTGCTTTCCTCTCTGTGTTGTGTGTGACTTTATGCCCTTTGTTTCACTGTTAGATTAAATGTGCCCAATATTGGCCAGCCAGCGAGGAGAGGGACGCTATCTTTGAAGATGCCAATTTCAAGCTCACCCTCATTTCAGAGGACATCAAGTCTTACTACACGGTCCGTCAGCTGGAGCTGGAAAATCTCTCGGTACGTTTTTTTGTTACGTTTCGGTTTTAAAGTGGTTGTCGTTTCGGGCCTTTAACGCTCCGTCCCGCTCCCTTCTGTCCCCGCACGTCTCATCCTCCGTCACAGACTCAGGAGACTCGGGACGTTTTACACTTTCACTACACCACCTGGCCCGACTTTGGGGTACCGGAGTCTCCCGCCTCCTTCCTCAACTTCCTGTTCAAGGTGCAGAAGTCGGGTTGTCTGAATTCCGACCAGGGACCAGTGGTGGTGCACTGCAGCGCCGGCATCGGACGCTCCGGGACCTTTTGTCTCGTGGACACGTGCCTACTATTGGTGTGTACAGAGCTCTGCTGTTGAGGTGTCATGATGTCATATATATATATATACATGTATATATGAATCCCTTTAAGAGCCGGAGACGGCTGTGCACTGAGCGCTTTTGCTGTACGATGCAGATGTCCATCCGTAAGGACCCGTCTTCGGTGCGTATTCGCGACGTGCTGCTGGAGATGCGGCGCTATCGCATGGGCTTGATTCAGACCGCGGATCAACTTCGGTTCTCCTACCTCGCCGTCATTGAAGGTGCCAAGTATATCAAGGGAGATACATCTCTGCAGGCAAGTGCTCCCCCCTGTTCCGCTTCCCAATTTCAATCAGTTCATTTCATTTTCAGTTTAAGAAATTCGTCAATTGTGTTTTCACTTTATTTGTGTGTAATAAGAGCACTTTGTTTTTGATCAAGGAGTCCTTGAAAGAGCTCTCAAATGAGGAGGATGACCCTCCAGAGTTCACCCCTCCGCCTCCGCTTCCTCCGCCCAGAGACCCTCAGAATGGCAAAAACGAGCGATCCTTCTTCCCCGAAAATGATGAGCTCATCCAGCAGAAGGAGATCCACAGTCTGGGGTAACCGTCCGCGACATTATATCCGAAAATGTCTTTGTTTAGTAGTTTAATAAATCCGTTGGTACACATATCTTGTTAAAGCTTTCGACCAGTTGAACTGGTTGATGGTGGCGTCATTTAAATATTAACGTCTAAACTGGTAAGAAGTTTAGTTCTGTGCAAAGCTGTTGCTAGGAAACGTCTGTTGTGCCGTCCGATCAAAATGTAAACAGAAAGTCAGCGTTGCATCACAAGCTGGCGCTTAACTTCCACAGTGTTTGTGGAACGAGTGGGAAATGTCTGATCATGCTAAGCTGACCAATGACGGCGCAATGATCCGGTGCTCTGTGTCACGGTCGTGTCGTGGAATGTAGATTCAAACGATTTCACATTTACGTCCGTTAAGCGGCGTCTTATCGCGTTTTTTGATCGATTGTGCCGGCCATATTTCCATAACACCACATCGGAAACTTTACCCTGCATTGTCTGATGCTACGCACCAACCGCCAAGTCAAATTCCTTGTATATCTGACATATTATGGTAATAATTGTTTCCTGATTCCTTCCTCCTCTGCTCAGGTCCTCGCGAGAGCCGGAGCTGCGAAGGAGGCCCGCCGCTCCCCCCCAGCATCCCCCCGAGGGCATCGAACATCGCGCCCCCGAAGCCCCGACGGCATCTCAGCAGCCAGAGACGGAGCAGCAGCAGCAGCAGCAGCCAAAGGAAAGCCCCCCCGGGCCAGAAGCGTGGTCCCCCTTGCTAACCAACGTGTGCGTGTGCACGGCCTTGGCTGTAGGTGCCTACGTCTGCTATCGGGCCTGTTTCCACTGATGCCGTCCTCCCTCCCCCTCTCTGTCGCCTCTCCGGGTTTACTCTGCGAGTGAGGGGTTTATTTGGACCTCGGCAGATTCGGGTTCACTCGTTTATTTTACAACTGCGGCGTGGAGGGGGGGGGCAAAGGGGCCGCCGGGCTCCTCGTTCACCACCCGAACGTTCTTCCGCTGCGTCGCCGTGAATGCTCAGGGCCTTTCGTTTTTCAGGTGTCACTTCCTTAATCTGCGTGCTGACTTAGACCCAAAAGGAGTTTGTTATCCTGCTCCCCTGTTCGGTGGACCGGGAAGAATGGCCCGTTTCATTTGTTTCTCCTCTCTTATTTACCAAATGACACTTGTTTGAGTTCTTCCATTTTAACCCTTGCTAAGTTGTCCGTTTGGATTCAAATACATGTTATTTTTTTTCCCCCACCGGCTCTTTCTTTTCTGTACACAGATTGATCAGAAATCATAGAGCCAGATTTTTGAACGTAAAGCTTTTTGTCTGTTTGTTGCGGTTCGATACGAAACCCGACAGAAAGGCGAAGGACGTGAAGTAACCATGTGCCACTAGATGAGAGATGCATGCTGGGATGGGCATTGAATTAACTGGCCTCACTGGTCAGCGAGAGGCCTGCTTATCCTGTGTGTGTGTGTGTGTGTGTGTGTGTGTGTGTGTGTGTGTGTGTGAATGGACATTTGTGCGAGTGGAGCTTTCCACTGATGTTTCAGTTAAATCGACGCAGTGAGAAATAATAATATAACATTTTTTAGGACGGCTAATGTGAGATGTAGAGTTGCCTCTTGGTCATCGATTCCCTCGCCGTTTTCTCTCCCTGGTGATGACACAATGACACAGAAAAAGTCTTTTTAAACACCAAATGGGGGGCGAGGGGGGGCGGTTTGTCTCCTCCTCCGCTTGCTTGGCATTCACAAACTGACAGTGGAAAACGTCCTGAGGCATTTTGACTAAGGTAATAACTCCATTCGAGTGTTTTAAGTCGCAGTGGTCTGAATAGTGCGGAGTCTTTTAATGCCAGCAGAATGTGTAACACAGCCTGAATAACACCTTTTCACTGCGTGTGTTAAGTTACACTCGAGACGGCCGGCTGATTGAGACACAAAGTGGCCAACGTCCGACCCCCTTTTTCGCCAGCAATAAAGCAAATACCTACTGTGTCATGTGTCACCCTTTGCTTTGTCAAACTGTTGGGTTTGAACGGGGAACCAGGGTCTTTTGAGCAAACCAAATATCCAACACCAGCACGGGGATGAAAGCGATTCACTGTAGCAATGAACCGTCGGACCGCGGCGTCGCGGCCCTGAGCTGGCAATATTGTTTTGTATGATTCGTTTCTCTTTTCTTTTTTTGTTCTTTTTTTTTTTGGCATTGCTGCATTCGTGAATCAACAGGTTTGTCCTAAAAAGAGATTAGCTAAGCTGCTAGCATTCAGTCTGCCTGTTGTGGCTCGACAAAGTTCAGTACGTGAGTCCGACAGCTGTACTTTTTTTTAGAATGTATAAACGTCCTCAACAAGGACACACCTTTATTCGATATATATATTTTTTGATTTATGTTTTATTTTCAGCTTCAGCAAGGGACTTAATCTCAGCACCGTGCAGCCATTGCGCCGGGTTTTCCTTTTTTTCTACTTACACTGAGCTCAAAAACATGTATTTTTTTATTTACATTTGTGTTAATTTTTAAATAAAAAAATGAAGTCTACTTTTGATTTGTGCAGGTTTTTTCTGAAACATTTACATCTACCACCACATTCTATTTCTCCCTCCTAGACGATGGTAATAGTGCTCATAACATTTAGCAAATGACTGTGATGGTTTATAGATATTTGTAAAACTTGTGTAAATAATTTATAAAGCCAACATTAGTTTACTTTACGAAGGGGGCCAAAATATTTTCACAGCCGTCAGGAAATCTTCCAGATGGCGTTTTGTACTCTTCTATATTTGTTTGACAGTTCCAGTTGCTGCAGGTTATTACAAAACTAATCAATCACTTAATAAACAATACAAATAAAGTATTATTATATAACATACTAGCTAGTATGATGTTCTCAACCTTTTAAGTACTCATCAATACCGCAGCAACAAAGTCAAATGATGTAATGATGATTATTGCATAATGAGTACTTCGACCTGATCTTAGCGAGACATTTACGTGTTACAGTTGTTACACTAAAAGAACTGGAAACTTCTTCCAGCTTCCAGAGTATTAATAATTCTCTGTGAATTGTTTGGACGCCGCCAGCAGGCGGCGCTGTTGGGCTGTAAAACGAGCTGGTTCCTGATGGGCCGACATGGAGCCTTTGGATTTTGTTGCATCCCACTCTTTATTTTGTGTTCTGTTTGGAACTGGTGTCTGCTCACTTATTTACAGTAAGCCTGAGTCACTGAGTTATTGTCTATTGGCCGCATATAAACTGCCACAAACATTTTGTTCAAACTCTACCGGCTTCCAATAATGCTGAGATGATGTATTGTGCTACAAATAAAAAACTACAATTCTTATATTTATTCTAACATTGTTTTATGAAAGAACACCCAGAAAATGTTTGACGTCAAAACTGCTCCGCTTAGCCCCGAGAACAGGTTTTCGGTTCATTTTAGAGTAAAAAGTACACAGCAATAGTCAATAGTGAACACTGCAGGGCGGAAGAACATGTCTTGACACATGCATTGCTTGAGTAAACTGCACCACATTGATATAGTACAGATGATTTGGCAACAGCCTCGGCTAGAACTTCCTGTTTGGGAAATAAGACGCTGGTACGTGCTGTACAAGAATTCGACTTAAGCAGAGTGAGTAATAGCACTCCCAACCACGCTCTGCTGACGTCAAGACACTTGGCACTCATCGAGGAAAACTACAATCAAGGTGTGACCGGGGACCGGAAGTCTTCTTAAAGTCACAGTTGATTCGACTGAACAACCCAGCGGTGTTTTTTTTTACCACTGTTTGTGGTCAAGAGTATTCTGTTACTTATTTTGAATGTATGTATCACATCCAGGTATCTCATCCACCGAAGCGTGGATATAAAATGCTGTGATTAGAGTTGTCGGAGTTGTCGGAGTTGGAACAATGCCACTTGAACAGATGTAAAATGTGCACTAAAGTGCCTCTTTGCTCGGCCCAAAATGTGCATAATGCTGACTCCACATTGACAATCGACCCCCTCAAAAAAACGCTATCTGCCCTGCCCGGCTGACTCCTACAAAGCGTGTGTCAGTTTAGCCATTAACCTGGAACTTCCCAATAGAGGTCTGGCTGTGCGAGTGGGCGGGAACGATCTTTGACTGTGAGTCTCTTTTCGTGTCCTGCCAGATCATTCGCGCCAGGAGCCGCGCAGGCATCAGGAAATTCCTGAATGTGAGGGGAGTCAGATGTTTCCAAGTGTGACTCCGCAAACCCGTGAGAGTCAGTGCACACGCACTAGGGTGGTTCTGTGGAGGCTCGGCACGAGGAAGTGATGGCACTCAGGTGTACCGTGTCTCTTCATGCCCTTATCATTACAAACAGTCGACCGTCGGCGTCGACCGTTGGTGGAATGCAGCTCAATACGTTCACTGAAGCACTTAAGTACACTTTTGACGCAGTAAGATAACATTTAGCACCGTTTACTCCAATACTACGGTAAATACGAGGCCACAGCCAGCAGGCGGTTGGCACGCTGTGTCTCGACTGGAAACGGCTTGTGTGGTTCGATGGTGACAAAATCCACTTGTTTCTCAATGTCTTCCGTCTCTGTGCACAGCTGAGCCAACTGGTAGTTCGTATTTGTAGACATGACTGGTATTGATAGTTGAAAAGCAGGGTCGAGCTGGGGCTCCTCGGGAGTTTTCTCCACCGGCCTAATGGGAACAACTGTTCAAGGGTCAAACGGGTTTGAGTATCAGATATTTGGCCCCTCTGATTTATCTCGTGACCCCAGTAGACTAAACTATCCAAAGGTTTGAGATAACAAGAGCTCCATCTCCACCGGTTACTGTGGTAAAATGCTGGTTTTGCATTAACAGTCTAACAATGTGGATAATACACCAATAAAAGAGCATTTGTTATTTTTTGGCAATGTTCTTTTGATGATGTAAGTGACTTCTGCTGACAATACCTCTTAACTTCAGTAGGGTGAAATAAAGGCTTCCACTTGTTTTGCAGTCATGGTTAAATTGGTGAATTGCTTCTTCAGTATGAGGTCTGTGTTCCTCTCGGCATCATTTATTCATGTGTCCCTTACCTAGATATGGCATATAAACAAAAAAAAAACTAAAAACAAACTGTTTTCCTAATCGAGCGGCATCGGGGGATTTTATTTGGTGGTTGTTGTCATTAAACCGCGGCCTCTCTCCTTCAGGGGCCGATATCTTCGCTTTGCGTCTGTAGAGACTCACCCGTGAGCAGTTCCTCTTCCGGTTCCTGTCCCCCGGAGCTGCTGCTGTCGTGGACGCGGCGTCAGAACACCGACGTGACAAACAGCACTTTGACTGCCATTGGCTGCGTTCACGCATATAGGTCATATCGCAGATACCAAGAGGTTGGAGACGGTGCTTCCCCTCCGCGCAGAGCTCCCGCATCCTTCCTGACGTCATCGCCACGTGGTCCGCATCGTAAACATGACCTGCCTGCCGCACCGCAAAGTCACCACGGTGTTCTTTTGGGGTATTGTTGTTGTTTTCCTGGGTTAGCAACTGTGGAAATTAAAACCTTTTTTTGATGTTGTTTGTTTTGCGTCAGTTTCATTGCGATGCAGCACACACACACACACACACACACACACACACAGACACACACACGTCACCGGCTGTTGTTTGTAACAACAATTTTTGGGAATGAGGTGAAAGGTAGGCCGCGTACGCGAGGATGGTCACATAGTTAAAGCTTCTGCGGCTGGAATGTTTTCGATGCCAGCAACGTCGTCAGCACACCCTACTTCCTGTTGAGTAATCTGAACATGTCAAGGCCCACACATGACAGCTACTATTATGTCGAGGTAACTGTGATTTCATGAGTGTTCAGCGCTGAATTTACTGTACATTTCGTTACGTCAGGCTTCGCCGTCTAATGATCAGAAGGGAGCAAGCTCTTCCTAACGTGACAAAAGGCCTGGCTAGAACATTTTAACTGTTTAATTATCAGTAACATTTGACACAAAACTACAGTATATGATGAGTCAGTCAAAAGCTGCTATACCTGTTAAATGTTGAAATTCTTGCACAGCTGGTTTGATCTCACCATTCTCATTTATCATGAATATTTACAATTTACAGTAAGCTATACGTTTGCACAACAGGTGGTTGCATTTCTTGAATGTGTGAGAAGACCCATTTTCACTTCCATGTTACAAGGATTTCCAACGCTTAGTTGTCCAAATAAAAGAAGGATGTCAGTCTAACTGAGCAGGGCGTCAAGCCGGTCTGGTAATCTAGGAAAGTTTTAGAGGAGAGCTTTGAGGAATAGTGCAATGGGTTGAACTTTATATTAACTTCGGCATTGTGAAAGAGGAGTTGAATGTCTTCTCAACAAGTCCTACAATAAGGAACTAAATAACAAATTACTAATGTCTATTCATTCATTCTAAAACAAACAACTTACAATTCAACGCTGCTGCCTCTCCGCACTCATTCCGTACCTTTCTATGGGGCATCAACCTCACACTTACAAGCATCCAGTATATATATATGTGTGTTTCTCAAGGTTGTGCTCTGTGATTTGACGGCTCCGGGCCGACTGCTTGGTTGAAGAAATACAAAAAAAATGTCTCTACGGTGAAGGTATAAAGTATGAATAGTTCATCTATTAATACTGCATAGTAAAAGTTCTGTACTCCAATGTTTACTTCAAAGTGAGGAGTGAAAGAGAGGCATCATCAGCACAGTGAACATCTGTTATTTTAGTTCTAACATATTAGTGGATAGTTTAATGAATAAGTTTGCATTCAGTGACATTTTTCAGAAGTAGAGGTGCACATTGAGTCGTAGAACATTCGTGAGCTGTATATCGTTTTTTAAGTGCTTTGGGGCCTTTTTGAAAGCTATTTCGGGGTACGATACGTTTGAATAACACGATGCCCAAAATTTAAACATCACAATAAATCCGAGAGGCGTTTTTAGTTACGGCCTCACTTGCCTCGAGGCAAAGTGTGCCTCTGGGCTTTCAGGGAAGC